AAAATAAAAATATTATAAATAATAAAATAATTATTTATATAAAAATTATTATTTATAAAATAATAATTATATATAAAAAAATAATAATTTATAAAGGAATAATAATTTATAAAAGAATAATAATTTATAAAAAAATAATAATTTTTAAAAAAATGATTTTTTTATAAAAAATAATAATTTTTAAAGAAATGGTTATTTTAATGTACGTTAAACTATAATTTATTAAAACGTAAAAGTTACATTTATTTAATTATATAACGCATAACTTATATATTTATATTTATAAGTTATAAATAAACTTTTTAATAAATTATAATTTAAGGTTGTTTTAAGCCCGAATTTATGTTATGGTAAAATTTTATATTAATAAAATTTAAACATTATATTTAAATAATTTAATATAATATTATAACGTATAAAATAACTTTAATTTAAATGATTTAAAGTTAATAATATATTACATTTATTTATTTAAATTTTTTATATATTTATATAATGTTACGTTATTATATTATAACTTTAAACGTTAAAATCACTTTATAATAAATAATATTATTACCATTATAACCATTAATAACATAATTAATAACATATATAAATAAAATAAAACGTATTATATTTTATTTAATATAATAATTTAAACTTTTTTACTTTTTTTATATATTTATATAATATTACGTTATAATATTATAAACTTTAACGTATAAAAGTGTTATATTAAAATTTATATTTATAATAATATTTGTAATAATATTTATAATTACATATAAAATAATTTATTTTATATTTAAAAGTAATAATATTATTGTTTATTTAAACTTTTTTATTTTTTTTATATTTATACGATTTTATTACGTGTTACGGTTAATGCGTTATAATCGGTATTATAATTAAAATTACGATTATTATTACAATTATTATTACAATTAATATTACAATTATTTTTAATATTATAAAAGACATAAATACATAAATTTAATTAATAAATTTAATAATAAAATTAATATTATTATATAATTAATAATTATTTATTATAAAAAAATATTAACATTATTATTTTTAATAATTTTATTAATTATTATTATTAATATTATAATTAATGTTACGATTAATGTTATAACCGTTATAATTACATTTAACACTTTTAAAAAACCTTAAAAAATTTAAAATATATAAATTAATTAATAAACTTTATAATAAAGTTAATATAATTATATATAATTATTATTTATTATAAAAATATATTAACATTATTATTTTTTTTAATAATTTTATTAATTAATTAATTAATTAATTAAATAATATTTTCTTTTATAAATTAATTTTTTAAAAAACATGTGTTTAAAATAACTTTAAATTAAAGATTTAAAAATGGTTTAAAAAGGTTGTACGAGTTATAATTAATTAAAGAAATAATATAATTATAAAAGTATATTTTTTTAAATTAATTTTTAAATTTTAATTTAAAGTTACTTAAAATAAAAAAATGGTTTTTCGATAAAAAATGATTACGTATATTAATATAATATTACTTAACTTAACTATTATTATAGGTAATATAATATTTGAAATAAGGAATTATTTTAAGTAATTATATATTACTGCTATGGTATTTATATGCATAAAGGAATGTATATTAAGTAACATGCGAAAGCGCGGAAAGTCCCGTGGTGGGGAGGACGCATGTGCCAACGGAGTGCCGTAAACTCCCTCCGATCCTCTAATCTCGATCCAATGGAAATCTACTCTCCTACTCACTCCGAGTTAATCAACCATACATACGACTGCATGACTGCATCGACTGCATACCTACCTAATGTAGGTACAATTTAATGCGCGCAATACACTGCATTCATATTACTTGTTTTAATATTGACGCGTGTTGATATAAATCGGGTTACCCTACCTTAGGCCATTCTGGTACCTACGGAAAGATGTCCAAGAATCAAGATTTCGACCTCCTGAAACCTGTGACCACCTCCCCACAACGGCCTCGTCACCAAGTAAGACGGTCGATAACTGAAATGTCGTCGCCAATCAAGTTGCCCCGGCATCACCACCTACATCATCTTCACCAGCGAAAGGATCGCGACAACGATGACCATACTTCCCAATCCGCAAACCCCATGCTTCTTCACTTACCACGAGGCTCATTTGAGCTGCCCCGATCCGAAGGCACCACGCCATATGCGAATTCCGAAACAAATCTCAGAACCGGCATACTAAACTCTTCGTCCGACGACACTATACGTAGTACCAAACCTACGGCCCTTGTGCCGACCCCGATAACTGAAGAGGACCTAGCGCACGAGCAGAGAGAAAAAGTAGCGTCAAGTTTAGCGTTCGTCACGACAGATTCCCGGGAACTATTAAAAATGGACTGGCCATAGTCTTCGATAACTAACATTTGAAATAGGGGATTGAGAAAGTCGCTAGTAGAATTAGGCAATTTTTCGACTACCACGACAATGCGTCTAGATGATACATATTACAGTGTTCTTGAGAGGTTGGGCATGCTTCAGAGTACGATAGTCTCCCTTAGGGAACTCACGAGTATGTCGCAGGAGCTAGACGAAAGCTTCAAAGCAGAGTCGCAAGGACTAGTGGACGAGTTGGAGCAACAGGCCGACGCGTTCGGTCACTTTGACGATCAGCAGAGACGCATCGAAGAGCTACAAGGTCGCATACACGCAGGCCGTGACATGGTCGAGACCCTCAGCAAGCGGGTAGATGTAGTGCGGGAACGGATCGAAGGCTGGGAAAGGGCGGATATGGAATGGCAAGAAAAGACAAGAAAACGTCTGAAGACCATATGGATCATCACGTCCGTGGTGATTTTCTCACTAATTCTCATACTGGTTGTAGCCCAGTACGCGCCTTCGTCTGAAAATATCTCGGAGGTTCTGGATCTGACGTCAAGTAACGGACAAGGACAGCCAGATTTGAGTAACGTAGTTGGCAACCAAACTATGAACGCTGCCTCTATGGTGGACGAGGTGAGAGAAGCACTCAGCAGCAGAAAACTCAATGAGTCTACCGGGAATGGCGTGTTCCGAGCCCTCGATGAGCTATAACTCGAAGTCTTGGCCATCCGACTAGCACTTGAGGAATTAATTCCCCTAGAAGTAATGATACCCCCCCAACAATTGTCTTCGATAGAAGGTTTCTAAGTATAACATCATACATATAATCAACATTATCAAGGTACTATTATTATATTGCCGACCGGTCGTCCTTATCTTTAACACATAAGTTGCTCTTATTACCTATGCTGCAGTGGTGGCTATTTAACTTCCGCCAACATTGTTTATGTAAATAGCTAATATACTTATAATTAGTTCATTCATCGAGCGTCATCGTTTCGAAAGCTCATCAGAAGACACCTAAAAGCTTACGTGTGCTAGTTGGAAGAGTTTTGTACACTAGTAGCACTCGGATGAAACTTATAAGCCTGAGTACCTAGTTAACTAATCTAAGAAGTTCAGATAGGTATGAGTTTGATGCCGTCTTAGCCGCGGGTATATGGCACATCTCAAACCACCACTTGGGTTCAGCCCTGCAGGGTCCGAAGCTGTGGAGTTTATACGTAAGACAGATGTAGCCATAGTTGCGTAGTCCTATGTACACAGATCTCTACATGGTCACTTACAACATTTTTAGTCAATCATAATGATAATGAGCAATATATATGATCTTAGAATCATTCATTAGCCACTACGTAACTAACATACCTAATATATAAAACTTGGGTAAAATATTCATACAACTAATGTCCCCTACCATTTACAAATAAGAGACGAACAAGACGAGGTACTAAGTGAAATATTAGTAGTAAGTACAGGTATATTGGCATTTAGGTAAATAGTGGAGCACATGATTAACTAACTAAAATCAAGTACCTATCTGTCGACGTCATCTCTAAGCCACTCGGTACCTATTTCGACGATACTGTACAGCTTGGGAGCCACTACCACCAATTAAGGCGCTACCGTTTTAACGGCACATCAAGCCGGATCTGAGAAGTTCGGATTGATCGTCTTGGCTGGCCGTGATTCACCTCAGCCCCAAGGCCTTGAACAGTAGTTGCTTGATCACCTGAGAAAGATCTAAGCCGCCAGGGAACTTAGGAAACGGACTACCAGGTAAACGTATACAGTGCCTATATTATATAATTGGCACTGTATTTACATCTATCCATCGTTACCAGAACAACTTACAAGGCACCAACTGCACTTTTTCACTACCTACTTCACAAGTTTAACATTATTCCATTGACTTACCTTCTTTTTCTTCTTTTTCTTTTACACATTATTAGATTTCTATTTATTTTTGTCGCAATACCCCCATTTCGCACGATCGATATTAGACCATCTCATTGGTTGAGAGTTATCAAGGGATAAACGACTTGCGGCTGATGGTATCAATCTTATTGAATCTATCAAATAACTTATTCCCCGCCATAATTGTTGGCATTTGGGCTGAAGCTTAATTTGTACGAAGACGGAAGCAAGAACGAGAACGGGGAAGAGGTTGACTTACAAAACGACATCATAAATCGTAAATTTCTACTTATTCTCCCCCGGTTGGAAAATAATAAGAAAAAAGAAAGAAAGAAAAAAGATCAAGATATGTCTACTACGGAAATCGCCCAAGATGGCGCACCCCGCGGTCCTACTATCGATTCCGCTACCCCTCCGGGCCAAACCCTGACCGGAAAACAGGAGCACTGTTCGTATCTCGTCTTGGCAAACACTTCGACGTCATTTATGCTAACCATCATCTTCTATAGACCTCAAGCGAGAGCTTATATCTGAACAAGTCAACTGGGAAATATCAGAATTAAACTCCCCTACGGCGCTTCGCAGATTCGGCGCACCTTTCAAATCGGAATTTGGAGAGGTGTCGCCCTATGATTCTGAACTCCCCATCCTACGTTACATATTCGTACACCATGTACGAGAGTTCCCGTTTCTCGACAAGGCGAAGGAGAAGGAATTCTGGCAGGACAAGCTGCAAGTCGTATGTATTTCCATCAGCAAGCTGCTCATTATATCATCATATTATGCTAACATAATCACCTTTGCGCGCATCTAGTTCCTTGAGTCCTTCGCTAGCAAGAATATCTCATCTTCCGAAGATCGATTAGAAGAAACCAAGCGTCGCAAGCTAGCCATAAAATGCCGGAAACTAGTTGAGCTTATGATGGTGTCAGGGGTTCCCACAGCATCGGGGTTCGAAGAGCGCATAAGATTTGCAGAGATGGAGATCGTAGACCGGGATGCAATCGATACGGGTGTGTTAAATTCCATGCCGGAAGGACACTACGTGAACGGATGGGACATCAATGTCGCCGGTGTGCGCATTACTCGAGTCAAGAAACGTATCAGACGTCACAAGCATGCGGTGAGTACCTCTACAAAAAGAATTGAAGCGTAATTCTCATAATATATTACAGGAATTCCTATTGCGCGTCAAACGGAAGGGAGAGCTTGAATTCTACGTAGGCAGACGATATAGCGACTTTGTCCGATTGCATAAACGGCTAAGGACTGAACTACCAGGAAAAGTCCTCCCTCCGTTACCCAAGAAGAACAAGTCGGACACAGCTGCAGCGAGCTTAATGTCGCGCATGACAGATGGTGCTGACTCTGACAACTCGTCTGCCTCATCTGTTTCTACTATCGCGCCCGGGTCTCAAAGTGGTGGATTTGCAGAGTCAATGAAGACCTTAACAGTTCGAGATCACCGCCGGAATAAATCCGTGGCTTCTAACCGTACATCGCCGCGCCCGTCCGTCGAAACGTCCGCGAGCAGGGTTCTAAGTCCCAAAATCGACGTAAGTTATTTATTACTAAGACCTATCTTAGATGGCCCAAAGCAGGGCAAGGATGAGGGCTAATGTTTTTAGGATGCAATTCTCTGGCGCGAGGATCAGCGTATATCGTTACGAGCATACTTGCGGTATTTGCTACAGAACCCCCAGATTGCGCAGACCAAGGCTTTGCAACAGTTCTTAACACACAATCCGGTCACCCCAACTGACGAAGATGTCGACGACATCTTTCGTCGCAAGGCCGTTGACGAGAAGCGTGTGGAGGAGCAGAAGCAATTCTACGAAATAGCAAGAAAGAGGGCTGCAGAGTTGGACGTGTATATGGAGCAGTTCCGACGAGATATCGTCGAGCGCAATGGGCTAACAAAGCTTTTCCAAGAGATCAAGGACAAAAACACCATCCAAGATCTAAGTCTCCAGTACCAGAAGTTTGCCGAGTGGCTCCGTATCGAAGTGGCCGCAACTATCTACCACCTTTTCCTTGCCGAAGATAATTCGCCAGAATTATTCGCGCAGCTTAAAAGGATTCATTCCTTGATCCCTTACACTCTTATGAAAAACCTCATTAGGCTTGCGAACCCAGCTGCTGTTATGTCCGGGGTGCTTGACCTTTTTCTAGCTCAGCCTTTTGGAACTCGGTCTCTTATGCAACGAATTTTCTCGTTGACGCTAAACGACGGAATTAGGAGCTACCAGAAGTCCATCGATGCTTTAGCTAATATAATCGGGGATGACGTATTTGTGAACAAACTACAGCAATTCGCGGATGCCGAGGAACATATAAAGGTTGCGATCCGAGAAGAAGCGGACTCTGAAGGGGTCGATATCGTAGTTGCTGCTTTGCGCTCCGAACTTTTCACTCCAGCCCTCACTGGCGAACAGATTGGGAGATTATACAACGCATATGTGGCCTTTAACAACGCGGTGGAAAACGTCGACGAGGAATTAAAGCAGGGCGCGCAGCTTTTCTCACATCTAAAGCAGCTTATGAAGCTACAAACCAGACAACGCGATAAGGCAATGATGCTTAGCTTGATCGAAGAACCTGTCACTTTACAATTATTCCGGGACCTTTTCACCATCTTCTACGAACCCCTGGTAAGAGTATATAAGTCGGCCAACGTATACGACAGCATTACCGACTTTGCCATTTTTATCGGTGATATGATCCAGGTAATGTTAACTGATTAGCTCCAAGGGTTAAGGCTACTAACACCATTGTAGGTTGTTGAGAAGTGTAGGGAGCAGGATGCCTCGGCAGACCCGAATCAGACGGTACAAGCCTTCATCGACCTATGTCAGCGTCACGAGCATAACTTCTACAAATTCATTCACGAGGTTCATACCCACGACAACGGCCTCTTCACGCAACTCATGGCCTGGATAGAAGATATTTTAGAGTTCTTAAGAAAGGGGCCGGCTGGTGGAGCATTAGACATCAACGCCCTTTTTGAGGGAGCTGTTGCTAGCGGCAATTTGGACAAGGAGAAGGCGATTGCGGAAATCGATCAGCTTATCGCCTGGCAAGAGTCTCGCAAAAAGTGGCATCAGGACAAAACTCGGCAGAAGATGGCTGCGGAAGGTTCAGTCGGTATCGACGGTGGCGTACCGGGTATGAGCAGCTTTCAGGCTAGCGACTTCGGGCTTAACGAGGCGGACTTGGAAGACATGAGCTACGACGATGGATCTGACGAAGAGGCTGAAGCGGAAGAAGAGGATGAGATGGACCCCATAGAAGCCGAAAGACGAAGGAGATCAAAGAAGCAAGACCGTCTCAAGGCACGCGCCGGCGAGCCGCAGAAACCGGAGGTCAGCGAGGTGCATCGGTTGAAAGATAACTTCGTCCAGATGCTCCGGCATGTTCTAGCGTCTTAGCGGCTATATTATTCTAGCATTTCGAGCCAAGGTTTAGGACAAAGGTGTATTTTCCATCGGTCGGTTGCATTGACGAGCGTGTACGAAAATTAAGTGAGATAATGGGCGTCGAGCGGGATGCACTATGTTACCAGTACCTGGGGCATTTAAACAACTCTCTAATTATGAAATGTTCCTTGGCGGATGGGGAAGATGGTGGTATAACTACTCGTATACTTATAGACCTTAAGAGTATAGGACTTATTGTTATCGTAGCCATTAGGTTAAAGAAGTTTAAGAGAGATTTAAGTTAGATGATGTCTTGGATATGTATATGTGTCTTGGCTTCGTATATTAAACTGGTCTCGTTTATTTATATGTAACTTGTTGTTTAATATTGGCTTGAAGTTATGACTTCGATATATCGGTTAGGTACCTAAGCTATTAAGTATCATATATTCCCATCTATTCCGATTTCAAGCAACATTTATCCTTCGGCAACAACACTATATATACGCCTAACGTAGAGAGTGCCTCAATTACCTAATACAAAATAAACGTTTATGTCGAAGCGAATACGTACAAAGTATATGCATTACGTGTATGCACGACTCGGCATATAAGGTATTCCCATTGTCTAATTACACGTGATGATGATGATGATGATGATGCCGATGGCTAAAACGGCTTACTGGAGCGAAGGCGGGTGAGGGTGGGACAAGTGGGTAAATGTACAAGAGTACCTCCTGCTTAAGGAAAGAGGAAAGGCCCGGCTTTATTATCCCTCGGTAATCAGAATCGACGCTATTGGAGGAAGGAATTGGATCGACTGGAAGCAGCGGTTGAACTTCGACCGGCATCATCACTTTTTTCTTGTCTTTCGCATTTCGCTTTCGCCAATCCCCGAAACTTGTAAGACAAGAGAAGAGTTGTTCGATACAACCCCTTCTCTCTCTCTCTGCCCTCCTTCTTACTCGTTCCCTATTTGTAATGGCATCTTCAATGGCACTAAGAAGGTTAGCCGCTGGCTCTACCGTGAGTATTTCTCCCTTACTTGAGAACCTCAAAATGTGTCGCATGGATTTGGGCTTCCTGAAGTTTAGAAGAGTGCGATAGAAGATGCTAACTACTACTATTCGCTGTGATAGTTCTCGAGGGCAGCCAGATGTCAAGCCAGAACCTTCTCTTCCACGCGCCCTGTTTGTACGTACCCCGCCAAATTTATGTGCAATGGGATCGATATCTAATTGCATGTGCGCGCAGCTCGGATCATCGCGAATAACCCACTACGGGCCAAGGAAGCGCCGATACATGTTAGCAACAAATACCCCGTTATCGTACGTCGCACGTTCCACGCTTCTAGACAATGCTTTTAGGATCAACAGCGGTTAACTTGACCGTAGGACCACGAATACGATGCCATCGTCGTCGGTGCGGGCGGTTCCGGTTTACGGGCGGCCTTCGGTCTGGCGGAAGCTGGTTTCAACACAGCTTGTATATCGAAGCTCTTTCCCACGCGAAGTCATACAGTCGCTGCACAGGGTGGTATCAATGCCGCCTTAGGAAACATGCACGAGGACGACTGGAGATGGCACATGTACGATACGGTAAAGGGTTCTGATTGGCTTGGCGACCAAGATGCTATCCATTACATGACGAGAGAGGCACCCGCCTCTATTATCGAATTAGAGAATTACGGCTGCCCATTCTCGAGAACGGAAGACGGAAAAATGTAAGTCGAGGCTGAACTGCGCGTGGCACATACGTAACCGCTTCTAACATCAATCGCTAGCTACCAGCGTGCTTTCGGTGGTCAATCGCAGAAGTATGGCAAGGGTGGTCAGGCCTACCGTTGCTGCGCTGCCGCTGACCGAACGGGACACGCTCTCCTGCACACACTCTATGGTCAATCTCTACGACACAGCACTAACTACTTCATCGAGTTCTTCGCCCTCGACCTGATCATGGAAGACGGGGAATGCCGTGGTGTATTAGCTTACAACCAGGAGGATGGTACCCTTCACAGGTTCCTTGCGCAGAACACTGTCTTAGCCACTGGTGGATACGGACGAGCCTACTTCAGCTGTACCTCGGCACACACTTGTACCGGTGATGGTATGGCCATGGTTGCCCGCGCCGGTCTTCCCAACCAAGATCTCGAATTCGTCCAATTCCACCCCACTGGTATCTACGGAGCTGGTTGCTTGATTACGGAAGGTTCCCGAGGTGAGGGTGGTTACCTCCTCAACTCCGAAGGTGAGCGATTCATGGAGCGATACGCGCCTACCGCGAAGGATTTGGCTAGTCGTGATGTCGTCTCGCGATCCATGACCCTGGAAATCCGTGAGGGGCGAGGTGTTGGTCCTGAGAAGGATCACATCTACCTTCAACTAAGCCACTTGCCTGCTGAGATCCTTGCTGAGCGTCTACCTGGTATCTCTGAGACTGCCGCCATCTTTGCTGGTGTCGACGTTCGCAAGCAGCCCATCCCCGTCCTACCGACCGTCCACTACAACATGGGTGGTATCCCCACGAGGTACACCGGTGAGGTTCTCACTGTTGATGATAAGGGTAACGACAAGGTTGTCCCTGGTCTGTTCGCTTGCGGTGAAGCCGCTTGTGTCTCCGTCCACGGTGCCAACCGACTTGGTGCCAACTCTCTGCTGGATCTTGTAGTCTTTGGACGAGCCGTTTCTCACACCATCCGAGATAAATTTACCCCGGGTGCTAAGCCCAAGCCTATCAGCGCTGACGCTGGTGCCGAATCAATTGAGGTCCTCGACCAGGTCCGCAACTCCGATGGCCCTAAGAGCACAGCCGAAATTAGACTCGCCATGCAGAAGGCCATGCAGTCAGATGTGAGCGTCTTCCGTACACAGGAAAGCTTAGATGAGGGTGTGAAGAAGGTCACCGAGATCGACGGTACCTTCTCTCAAGTCGGAATCAAGGACCGCAGCATGATCTGGAACTCGGATCTCGTCGAGACCCTCGAGTTAAGGAACCTGCTCACTTGCGCGTAAGTTATAGAGTCTTTTTAGTCCAAGGGACAATAAGCTAATGATATTATCAGTACCCAAACGGCTACTGCCGCCGCTAACCGAAAGGAGTCCCGTGGTGCTCACGCCCGAGAAGACTACCCCGAACGAGACGACGACAACTGGATGAAGCACACGCTCACCTTCCAGAAGAAGCCCCACGGAAAGGTCGAGCTCGGATACCGACGAGTCATCGGCACGACGCTAGATGAGAACGAGTGCAAGGCCGTCCCGCCGTTCAAGCGTACTTACTAAACAAACAAAACGATCAAGCGACGGTAGTGTGGTATCAATAGACGGACGGTTATGAGCTTACTTAATGTCAGCGATAGGGGTATGAGTTGGAGAAGGCGTATCCTAGGTCTGGCAGATTGGAGTGGGAGTGGGACTGTGAGATGAGCCGTCCAATGTGGCGGCTACCTACTGTATGTATCTTATGCATGGTTTTGCGAACGATGTGTATACGGGTAAAATACCAATATTTTTTAACTGTTCAAACTCGGGTGCAGTGTTGTTGCTAGTGAGATGATCTATTGGGTATGCATACACATACCTCGCAGTTGAGCGTAAGGAGCAAGTAGGTAGTAGAGGGGAATATAAACGAAAGGACACCAAAAATAAAATAAAAGGGGAAAAAAAGTATACCAGGTGCCGGATTCGAACCGACTTCTCCTTCGTAGCAATTCGTCATATGTCCTGCCCTCTTTAGGAATGACTCAGCCTTCCGCATATCTACTTGGTGCACCAGTGCACAAGTTTCATCGATTACGTCCTGGCTATGAGTCCACTGAGCTAGCTAGGACATCGGGACTGCCGTTCCTCGGGCGACTTCGCCAATAGTCCGACCTGGCTTGTGGGATGATGGTGGGGGTTTATTAGGGTATATATGGTATGGTGCGTGGTGTTTACCTAGGTCTGTGATTCAGGGGTATGTATGTATATGTGTCGTGGTGATTTGGCGGGTGCGGGTATTTGACGGTTGGTGAATGTGTCTCCGGGTCTGTTTACATAGATCGGGTATACGGTGTTAGGGACTCTTTAATGCTTGATACTTGCTTGGGGGTGAGCTTTGTTGTATTGCTGAGTACCTATTATTATGGTAGTTCGGTAGGTATATATATGATCGAAGGAATCAGCGAGAGAGAATAGGAGTACTGTCAAGGAAAAGGGGTTTCTACATTGCCAAAGCCGTCATTCCATAGGCACGTTCCAGTGTAGAGGTCAGTCAAGACTTGGATGCAACGTCCCGTCTCTTCTGCACTACAGCGTCAGAGATGAGAAGCAGATAGGCTCGGGAAAAGAGTTGAATTCGGAGTTCCATACCACATTTTCGGGGATTTCCTCTTCTGGAATACCATACACGGCTCAGATGCTCGTGATCATGCTAGGCGCTACGGCTTAAGCCCTGTCAACCTGGGCCTACAGTCTGTCTATGACGATGGCAGTCTATTCTACTCACAGTATTGTGCTACACCTAGCTACCGTAGGGATTTAAATACCTTCTTGCACCCAATACCTCTGGCATGGCCATTTACCCCTCATAGGTATTCCCAGCCTTCTTCCCATTCCGCTCCGGCAATACGTTACTAACTAGAACATGTTGCCTTACTTATCCTACCTCAGTGCCACCGTGCTCGGTCTCGTACACGGCCCGCCGAGTCTAAGCTTAACTGCCGTGACCGGGAGGAACAACATCTCGGTCTTGGAATGCTGGCAGCTTACCTCGCCGTTCATCAAAAAAGCAGGCATGGATGTGGTACGAATGGGCGATATCGCAAATGCGTCGTATTACAGTATCCCGCCGAATTTCGACAACGGGCGGCACCCGGGGCCCGCAAAACAATATGTCTGGGTTATCAGCGGCCTTATGCATAGTATGCTTCTTAGCTAATAAGGCTTTGGGAATCTGGGTATCATTGAGACTATGTAGCTGACAATTACCAAACCAGTCTCCTTGCCGAACGCCACGGATGAAGTAATCGTACACGGTGGCAGATACGGGCTTATGTATATCGACGACACGGCGGATGTCTCGATTTGGGGACACAGGACGACGTTTCCGGGAGACGACAGGACGATTATCCTTATGATTCCTGTTCGGGATGATATTAACCCTCCCCATTGGGTTTTATACGATGGACCCTGCAAGATTGGGCCGGCGCCGGTTGGTACCGGAGAATAGACGCCGCTGGACCCGTGACTACTTATAGAGAGTAGTATAATACGGCAAGGTGTAAGAAGTCATGCCGAACCCTATAATATACTAATAAGTACCACAAGAGCCAAGCTTCGTTTCTCGTTTCTTGATTTGCTCTCTGATGTAATACCTCTCGATCCGGGGTAAGGTATTACAAGTGTCGTTTAAATAGGTAGCACTTTGTTTTATCTTAACAAGTTCGGAAAGAAGTTAGATACTAATAGGTGCCAAGCCTCGGGTCAGTATAGTATAATGTAATACAGCAACAGACTCTGATAGGCGGGGGAGTTGGACGGTATTTTGCTTGGTTAGTATGACAGTTTCCTTAGTCGGTACGGCAATTTGCCCAGTTAGAACGGCAGTTCAATTCCGACGGAACACCCCATCCCCGAATGCGGGATTGTTTAATTAATAACTTGGTGCGACTTCAAGAGAATACAAAAGGTAGTGTTCTCCTAAGCGAAAGCCACTTTACTAAAAAAGTATATTATGAAAAGGGACAGAACAAGAAGCGATATAGATTATCTTTTCACCATCAGAAGACACTAAAATTCGCAATGTCTGTTGCGCTGATCACAGCGGGGAGCGCCGGGCTCGGAGCCGCGGCAGTCCGGGTCTTCGCGAAGAATGGCTTCCGAGTCGTCGTGAACTACGCCAATAACGAAGAAAGGGCCAATAAGCTCTTGGAAGAATTGCCGTCCCTGTCTACTCTGCCGAGCGATAATTTCGTTGCTATCAAGGCTGATCTGGGTAGCCGGGACGATATCAACCGTCTTATCAAGGAGACTGTTGATAGATTTGGTCGACTGGATGTCATATTCTCCAATGGTGGCTGGACTCGTTTGTGAGTTATGGTTGCTTGCCATAAGAATGTCCTTTTTTATGATACCACTAACATACGTATTTGTCCACAGCCGCGGGATGGAGAGCATTGACGATAATGCATACGAGGAAGAATGGGACCGTGCCTTTAATATGAATGTAAAATCCCATCTATGGCTGATGCAGGCGGCCAAAAAGTACCTTGAGGAAACCGAAGGCGCTTTCATTACCACGGCGTCTATTGCTGGTGTGAGCCCAGTTGGCAGTTCTCTGGCAAGCAATCCTAACCCCCTGACCTAGGGTCTTATTAGATTTGAACTGGTAATAACACTAAATAGGCATATTCCGCTACCAAGGCGGCACAGATCCATCTAATGAAAGGGCTTGCGGTTATGGCCGCCCCCAAGATTAGAGTTAATACCGTCTCCCCTGGGCTATTGCTGACGGTGAGATACTCTAAACCGTTAGAAATTAAAGGTAGCTGAGGTCTAACGTTAAGTTATAGGAATGGGCAACCCGCTTTTCAGACGAGCAGAAAGATGCCCATCTGCAAAAGACCAAGCTTAAGCGCTTCGTTAGCGTTGAGGATGTCGCTGAGCAAGTGCTTACTTTTGCAAAGAGCAAGAGTACGACAGGGATCAACATTGTGATGGATTCGGGGTTCATCTTGTGAGTTCATCACGGTGTATGGGCTGGTTCTGCCTAGCAAAGGCGAACATAGCCTTGTAGACGGATAAATATAAAATATAAACTTTACTTAGGTATACTCGTTGTGGTGTCGGTCAGACGTGGGTGAACAAGCGCAGTTGATCATGTGGAATAAACGTGTAGGTGTAAATTAGCTCAGACCAACGAGATGGAGATGGGAGCAAACAAGCAGTTACTACCTAAACCTAGTGTAATATGAGAAGGCTCTGCAAGGTGTATAAAAAGTCCGGTTCCTGCCTACTATATTGTATATAGGTACCTAATGTACCACGTACATTATAATAGGTTAGGTACCGTAAGTGATGTAAACTCTAAAATTCCTTCCCGTTAAGCATATTCCTAGGCCGCCACGTGGGAAGCTTATGTGGTTGCTGAGGCTTATAGCGAATCATATGCATTTATACATGGGTACTTAGAGTGTCCAGCCCTGTCAGCCTGTGCGTCAGCTGAGTATTGTACCTAACACAAGTCCGATCATTCTCTACTTCCAAGTGACTCTCTACATATTTAATAACACACCGAACCCAATCCCCTTGCCTGCCTTGTCAAATCATATATCTTATAAATAGCTTCGTATCTCTATACCTAATCTCCAAACTCCGGGTTCTATGTACTTGGGAAGCTTACGCACTCTTTCTGTTCCTTTAGATAGTTACGAAGGCGCAAATTAACAAACTATCCATCCAGCTAAATCTACGCATCCCCTGGTATCAAGTTCATTTCAATACGGAATAGTCGACTTGACGAGCACTAAAACTCGGGATGGAGGCTATAGCCTCCATGTGCCTCGGGCCTCCAACCGAGTCGGGGGCAGGATCAGGGTCAACTGCGGTGATCACAACGACTGTCGTAACCACAGCTGCACTTATCTCGCTCGCTCGAATTACATTATGGCCCGAGAAGCGCGCTGTCATACCCGGTCCTCTAACGACTAGCTTACCTAAGCTTTCTCAGGCTGCTCGCTCTGAAATTCCCTACCAACCAGACGCATTCCCGGGCGCTAGAGATGTAGTCACGCCGGTGAGTCTTTCCTGTATGATAGATAAACTAGGTAGTGCATGAGTTAATCCGAATTCATAGTATGGCAATATCCGCGTGTATGAGTTCGGACCAGAAGATGGCCGTAAAGTCTTATTCCTTCATGGAATTAGCACATCATGTATGACTCTCAAGGGTATCGCCGTGCCCCTTGCTGAGAAGGGATGCCGAGTCATGCTTTTTGTAAGTAGACTTTAAAGAACCTGGTGTGAAATCATGTCCCTTAAAAATACCCACTTACACTTCTTAGGACCTATTCGGACGAGGCTTTAGCGATGCGCCTGCTGATGTGCCCTACGACACGAGGCTGTTTGTTACTCAAATATTGCTCGTACTAGCATCATCTCCCCTATCGTGGACTGGAGAGAACGGTTTGAGCATCATTGGGTACTCTCTCGGCGGTGGTATCGCCGCCAATTTCGCCGCCACCTTCCCCCACATGGTCGAGTCTCTAGTACTTCTGGCACCCGCCGGGCTTATTCGCGCGGAGAATTTCGGGCGTGCGAGCCGGCTCGTTTTCACGTCCGGTATTATACCCGAGCGCCTTCTTGCCTGGCTTACTAAACGTCGTTTACGACAGCCCATCGCCTCGTCCGTGTCTAAAAAGGTCCGGAAATCCATCAACGGTGCAGCTCCAAAAAGCCCGCTGCAGAGTGAAGCTAAAGAGGATTATGTCGACGTCGCCGTGCAAGAAGCAGTAGACCCTGTTGAGGGGGAGGTGCCTCCAACGCCATTTGAGCGCCAAGTACTCGGTTATGTGCACTGGGCCCTTGACTTCCACTACGGTTTCGTGCAGGCTTTCATGTCGACGATCCGATACGGTCCGCTGATGGAACAGCACGGATACTGGAGACAGCTGGCTAAGCGTAAGCCCGGGACTACGGCGGTGATACTCGCTAAAGACGATAGCCTTATCCCGAAGGACGACTACGCCGAAGACGCACTCCCACTTCTCGGCGGGGAGGACAACGTATACTGGCGCGTCGTACCTGGCTCGCACAACTTCCCCTTTACACATGCGACAGAGGTGCTGGAGCGCATTTATGAGTTCTGGAATATCAAATGAAAGGCCAAAGATACGAGAAGCGTTCTGTTCAAGTAGCCAGCCAACATAGATAGATCACTAGAGTCCCTTTTGTTTACAGCTGGTATACCAGTTAGTTATGACGATCATGATGAGAAAGATAGAGTTTTATGTAGGGGAATATATTATTTATAACAGCATATAGTTACAAATTCGATTACTAACCAGTTAGTTGAAGCCATGCCCATTTTCCGCTCTCGAAAAAACCTCGATTAATTAGAATAGTCGTTGCAGTAAATAAACGTAAAATGAAGAAAAGAAAAAAATCGAACATCATGGCTTCCGGTACGTTTGTCGTAATCCTAGAACCCTTACCTTGGGTTCAACACGCTAACACATCCGCGAATCTATATCGGCATACGCCCCCCCTTTCCCCGTTTACGCCGGCCTTAAGCATCCATAGCATCCCGACCATTCAACAAGATAATGCACGTCGAGATAGCCACCACATCATCCAATTCCTCGCCGTTAAGCACGAGCACGGCATCCCTATCGAACCCAAAGCCCGCGACCCGGCCGATCTCGACGCGTTTCTGGTTCAGGCACTTATACAGGATGCCCACGCGGCCGTACGTCATGTCCCAGAAATACGGGATGCTGTGCCTGACGAAGGCCTCGTGCTTGTTGTCCTCGTCGCGGGAGCTGCCGCCTACGGGACACATCTCGACCTCGTGGCGGGAGTGCTTGCTGCCGGGGGGGAAGCGCACGCGCGACGAGTCGAAGGAGACGAAGGTGATGTTGAGATCGCACACCTTGTCGCCGGAGCGGGCGTCGACCATGGTCTTCAGCGTGCGCATCATGTTGCCCGAGGACTTGATTTCGTAGGCGGGCGGGCTGTTGCTCTGGAGCTGTTTCTGCGCGGCCCGCTCTGTGTCGTCGAGGAAGGCGTGGTTGAAGTCTCCCGAGAACGGGGCCCGGATTTGGCCGGATAGGTCGAGGATCTTGGCGGTTGTTTTGAAGTGGACGCATCCCTTGAGGAAGAAGGCGCGAGTGGGTTGGAGGACTACGTCCTCGTTGATGGGGAAGTCGTCGGGATGGAATGGGTGGCCCATGATGCCGTTTTAAATATTCTCTTATTTATAGGAGATAATCGGTAAGTATAGATGTGAGTTGGCGCTAAAGGCGAATAGTGTCCTTGTCCTCGCTTTCTTTCTTTCGTTTCTCGTTCTACTTTGTCGTTGGATATTTTACTTTCTGCTCTCTAACCAGTGCAAGTCTCCTTAAATTGTGAACCCGACGAATATATAAAAATTTCCTTCCAAACCCAGGAAATATGACGGCGATTAGAGTATTATTTCATTTATTACTTTCGATCATTTACAAAACGTCGAGACTGGCGTCGAGAACCGGCGCCGTGGTTGCTTATAACGGGCATCCGTAATACGGGAGTTGGAGTGGGCCCTACCGTCGCGGAATGTGACGTCACGGCCGGCCGCATTACCTGATTTCCAGGCGTGGCTGCTCACCACGGCCAAGTTTTAAGAACATATGTGTGGCGGCCACTGGCGTCACCGAGGCCTATACGAACCCTATTACGTCCATCTTATGGGTAAGACGATCTCGATCTGCGTGGCTTGTTAGGTACGTTGGAGGGTCAAACTTACAACAAAATGAGAGGTGTGATACTCATTTACTTAGGTTAGATGCTTACCTCGTACAGACGTAAATATAAACCCCTAACCTAGACTTTTTTTTTCCTAGATTTTCAAAGTTAATTGCAGAAGATAAGATGTTTCCTTAAACCTCAGCTGAATATAGAGTTCTGGCTGTTGGTGGTTGTTTAAACCTTCGCCAATCCCATATCCCACCATTCCTCCAGCTCATACATAATAGGTAACTTTTCAAGATTACATTATGTGGCCTTCAATGAGTGTATAAGTAAGTCGTATTCAGGTCCTAAATTCACCACTTAGGATTTAGTAACTTTGTATTATAAAAGAACATGAATGATATGAGATTCTTAAGAGTCCCAAAGAATGCTCTTGATATGACCAATTCCATATTGGCTGGCTAGTTGGCACATATCTAACCCTTATCAATGCTATTGCCGAAAGAATAGTCCCCGTGGAGCGCCTCGGAGAAGCAACATCTCGCAGATAGTATCGAATGATGATGGTCTAAGGTAGTCATACTAATAAGAATTTGTGACAAATAAGCATAGTCTAGATCGCTAGATTAAATACGAATTGAAAGAAATACACGCCGCAGATTTCTGTAAGCGCATTCTGAAAACTTAGTACGTAGTCCTTTGCTGTCGCTGTTAGTAGAATTCGAGGTCTCTCACAAGGTTTTACAAAAAGTTCGTTTTGAGATTCATCTACACAAGTTTGCGCTTGCCGATATGGACGTCACCGAGGATTTTAGTCCGTATAGGGCAGACGGGAAGCTGGTAAGTGTTTTTATCAAAATCTCGTAAAATAGTGACTGACATCATGCGCAACCATAGCATGGCTTTGTTTGTGTGGTGACAGGAGCTTCACAGCCCGTCGGCCAGGCCATCATTCAAGAACTAGCGGGTTTGGCCGATCTTATCAAATATTTGCGTTCTGAGAAGCTGATAATTAAGTAGCCCACGGAGCAGCTTGCATATACGGTGAGTTTAGGTCGAAAGACCTTAACGGATTAGCTTTGGATCCTGACGAGAATCAGCATGCGACAGGGCCGCCAGCTCAGATTTATATAAAGAACTCGTCGATACAGTAGGAAATGAATCCCCGAGCTGCAAGGTCATCCCATATCCTTTCCACGTCGCCAAAGAAGATGAGACACTCGTCTTGATAGACGAGGTCCTCAATGCCTTCGGGAGGCTGGATGTCTGGGTCTGCTCTTCTGGTCTTCTAGGACCCCCTTCGATCGAAGCCACTACGCCAGACGACCTACAGAAATGTTTCGAGGCTCATTCGTTGGCACCTTTCTTCGCATTGAAGTACGCCCCAGCTGCGATGGCTAAACTGACCGAGAAGAAGACCTATCCAAATGCTGCACCGAAAAGCCAAAAGTATGGCAGTATCATTGTTATCAGCAGCGTCGCATCAGTTTATGGTGGATGCTGGGGACCCTGTTACACTATGACTTCCCATGCTGCTCTCGGTGTGGTGAAAGCAGGCGTCGCGAGTCTCAAAGGCACTGGAGTGAGAATCAATTGTGTAGGTGAACTCGGTTTATTGCTGTTTCTTGAGCTCTAGTTAGAGCCGAGAGTAGTTTTCCCCAATTTCGAAATTTGAGGGTTGTTTGGTCAATGTTATTATTAACTTAACTGTCCAGATATCTCCGGGTCAGATCGATATTGGCGTAGACCTCCAGGGGGTAAGTAAGTTCGCTGCTTCGGCCGATGGTATATTAATGACCTTGAATAGTTTGATATGAGAGGGATGGCATCCCAGTTCCCTCCGGCCAGTCTTCAGAAGCCAGAGGTGAGAAAGTCAAGCCATAACCAACAACACATCCAATTAACTTGATTATTTAGACGCAAAAAAAGACAATTGGGTTGGAGAGAGCTGGTAAACCCCAAGAAGTAGCACGTGTTGCCGGCTTCTTGGCAAGCGGTTTCTCGTCCTATGTCACGGGTGCAAACCTCATTGTAGATGGCGGTGCATCGTGAGTTCACCTTTGATTTACTCTTATCTGTAGTGTCCCAAGCTAACCAAATCAAGTGTAATGAACCCCTTGACGGTTCCTATTTGAAAGCGACGACATGAATGAGGGGCATAAATGTGTTCCAAGTTGGGTATGAGAGATGAATGATGAATAAACCAAAGTTAAAATGGAGAGCAGGAATGAAGCAGCACCGTTTGCAGTCCTTATCGCGTTTCCGTCATTAACTGATAGCCTGATAGGTAGATACCTCCCGTAGATAAGAGAGCCCACTACTAGCCCACCTATTCTAGTAATATATAAAAGTATTTATGTAACATCTTACTAAGGAACTTACTCTTGTATGTATAATTTACTTCGTTGGGGCGGCCACTTTGCTCTTCGGCTTCACCACTTCACCTTAGGTAGTCGAGAGAGCACATAATGCCTCCCCAGCACCAGATCCTGCCAAGCGCAGATGAGGCTGTAGTCGAATCAACATGTCAGAAGTACAATCTGACTAAAGCAGAATTCCGCGAGCTGCATAGTCGTTGTGTTGCGGCTAAGTCGACGGCTTATTGTCCGTACAGCCAGTTCCGAGTCGGCTCGGCTATTATCTCTGTCGACGGCGTCTATTTCAACGGAGCTAATGTCGAGAATGCTTCGTACCCGGTCGGCACATGCGCCGAGCGCGTGGCTTTCGGCAAGGCGGTGACTGAGGGACATCGGAGAATTAAAGCTGTGGCTGTAGCCACTGACATATCTCCCCCGGCTAGTCCGTGTGGGATGTGTCGCCAGTTGTAAGTCAAGAACCTTTATTTTTAAGTCTAAATTGGCTCACTGGAATCCTTATTATAAAAGTATTCGGGAATTTTGCGATCTTACGACCCCAATTATCATGTTCGACAAGGACGACAACTTTTCAGTGTTCCGTCTTGAAGAGGTAAGTTGGCCGGCGTCTGTCTTTAAACATAGGTAATCACAAGCTGAGATTCGTATAACTAGTTATTACCTTTGTCTTTTGGACCTGAAGCACTCCCTCCACCAGGATCACGCTCTGTTTGAGCCTATAATTATTGTGTTTGGTGTGCGTTTCTGGCTGTAGCCTCGACGATTGTGTTCTTATAAAGTTTAGCCCATCAAGATTCGCGTGTTTCCAAGGATCATTGTGATGGTCTACCTGAGGCTGCTGAGCTGGATGGTAAAATGCGGGGACCTGGGGTAGCGAGCTATGCATTAAAGGTTCAATATAAATATTCTGATCCTTACTAGATAGTATAAATTCTCTCATGCATCTCTGTAACGTTGAATTCTGGGTAGAATATTCCGCGTAAGCTATACTAAATCAACTCGGTTAAGTATAGTGAAATTGAATATATCTAGGTATCCTACTCGTGAGTCCGAGGCAGGATAACAACCAAGTTAACTATATCAATAAACCTAACCCGGCTCGCTGTGATTCCCTCTGCTTCGACTACTTACAGCCATTCCTTGTCCTCTAACCTCTAACCTCGTAACTCACACATGAAAATATCGTATTAATCCAACCCAAGACATATTCCCAGAATGTAACATGATGTTAGTCGAGACCTTTGCTCAGTTTCGCTGAAATTGGAGCCGTTCCCCACAAGCCACCATCCCCGCAACCCCGGGAATTGAAGCAGCTAAAGAGGTTAGACGATCTCGAAGTTCCAAGCGCGCCAACCAGCAAGCTGGAAAGTCGGTCCGAGAAGAGGCTAGCTCGATAATTCCCATGCTCTCCCGCCTCCGCAACTTCGTCCTAACGCGCCAACGTACCCCGTATCCGCTGGAGTAATGTGGGGGACCGCAGAGTCGGGGCAGCGTAGTGATTGGTAGTCTTGGGGGTACCGTAACATCAGAAGTGAGGATGCGGGGAGACATACGGGCTAGCTGTAGCAGAAGGCAGCGCTATAGGCTGGCCTTGCACTGGAAGGATCTTGGGAACGGATGGGAATGTGATGTCTAGCCCAACGGTCAAGCTCGCCTGGGGCCAATTTCTGCACCTATAGCAGTCCGTCCTCGTCTGCGATCCGTATTGCGACTCTACACCGGTGGCTTCGGAAAGCTCCAGCTCCTCATATGGATTATGGCCCGATGGGTGCTGCCCCCTGCACGGCGGAAAATCACCGAATGGCCCCAAGATTGCCCATGCTACGCAGTAAGCGTGCGATGACCATGACCAGGAGCGACTTGGGTGTCATTGGGACGCATGCAAGTGAGCTTTAATATATGAAGTGTTCACTCCACCGCCATGGATTGTCGTTCTCCGAGCTTACTACTACTCTTCTTACTCGAATTTGTCTTCACGCGTCAGAGCTTGTTTTCCTCCCCCGCGACAAACCTACGAGGAAAGCGAACAAGATGTCGAGGTTTCCAAAGATTAGTACGTCATCTAATAGTAGTCAATAGCAATTATATACGCGCAAATGCTTACACGTCATAGCAAACACTTACTTCATGGCGATTATCGCCACCGTGGGCGGTATGCTCTTCGGTTTCGATATCTCGTCCATGTCTGCCATCGTCATTACCGACCAGTATATCGAATACTTCAACAACCCCTCTGGCGTCACCCAAGGAGCCATTGGGTCTGCCCTGGCCGCTGGATCTGTTATTGGTAGTTTAATGGCCGGTCCCATTTCGGATAAGTATGGTCGACGTGATAGGTAAGTCTGAACTCCTTGTGTCTGCTAGAGTTGAATCTCACGTCTCGTAGTATCATGTTTGCCTGTCTTTGGTGGCTAGCTGGAACTGCAGTCCAAGTTGCTACCACCGGAGTAGGCTCGTTGATTGCTGGCCGTGTCCTGAACGGTGTCTGTGTTGGTATCACCTCTTCCCAAGTCCCTGTGTATCTCGCAGAGATTGCCCCACGAGTAGGTTGATACTTCATACTGGGAACCACTACCACTCGCTAACGAGCTATATAGGATACTCGGGGTCGTATTATCGTTATTCAGCAGCTTGCCATCGAGTGGGGTATCTTGATCATGTACTTTATTGGTTATGGAGTAAGTTGTTCTTACGATTTACAAACGGTGAGAAATAGCTAATTCATTATTGCAGTGCTCTAAAATCGAAGGCACGGCGTCGTTTCGAACTGCATGGGGAACACAATTTATCCCCTGCGTAGGGCTTATGATCGGTCTTCCTTTCCTTCCTAGATCTCCAAGATGGCTCGCCAAAGTCGGCCGCGAGGAAGAGGCAATTCAAACTCTTGCTAATATCCAAGCTGGTGGTAACAAGGATGACCCACTTGTCATCGCCGAGTGGGAGGAAATACACACTGTCCTGAACGCAGAGCGAGAGTCGATTCGAGGATGGAAGAAGTTCTTCGTTAATGGCATGTGGAAGCGAACTCTGGCTGGAATGAGTGTACAGGCCTGGCAAGTAAGTCTTATATAAAATGCCACCACCGTGAGTTTCAGTAACGCTAACACTATAAACCACTATAAAGCAACTGAGTGGCGCTAATGTTATCGTCTACTACATTGGATACGTCTTCTTGATGGCGGATCTCCAAGGTGATGTCAACTTGATTTCTTCCGGCATTCAATATGCGATCTTTATCATGTAAGTCGTAATGAGCCGGGTCGATCCGATCCTTTACAATAGGTGCTAATTATATTTAGCTTCACTTCCATTATGTTCTTCTTCATTGACCGTACTGGTCGTCGAACGCTCCTCGTATCTGGTGCTATAGGAATGGCTGTTTGCCATTTCGTAGTCGGTGGCCTTCTTGGTACCTACAGCATTGACGTCCCCGAGGGTGTCGGCGGAAACCACAATGTTGTTTTCAAAGTCACGGGCTCCCCTGCCCACGGTGTCATTGCATTTAGCTACCTGCTTATTATCGTCTATGCACTCACCCTAGCTCCCGTCGCTTGGGTTTACGCTGCTGAGGTTTGGTCGCTTGGAACACGCGCTACCGGAATGTCACTGGCTGCGGTGGCCAACTGGCTGTTCAACTTCGCCCTGGGACTCTTCACCCCGCCAGCATTCCTTAACATCAAGTATAAAGTTTTCATCATCTTCGGCGTGCTTTGTATCGGCGCAGCTATCCAAGCCTGGTTTACATACCCTGAAACATGTGGCAAGACTATTGAGGAAATCGAGCTATTGTTTGCTAAGGGCGCGCCAGCGGCGTGGAAGACCAAGAAGGGTGGTTCTCGTCTTGAGGCCGAGATCGAGGCCGTGTTGAACCGCAAAGAACACGGCGAAGATGTTCGTACTGATATACATCCGGAACTCCAGAAGACAGCAACAGGTGAGGTGGCTACCGCTAAGGAGACCGTTTAGGATCTTGTTGGAGTTGGGGGTGCATAAGCGAAGGAAGAATTCTATTAGCTCATATATCACATAAATTGAACTATTTCTACCGGAGTTATTCGGAGAATAGCACCCAGGTACCTGGCAGATTACCTGGTACAAGGTTCTAGTTGATTTCTATTGTCCCGTAATACTATGGTATGATGGGTAAGTAAAACCCCTGTCACAAGTCGCGCGCTAAAGTGTGGCCTGTGTTGCTGCTTCTTGACTTGTTATAGTTTAACGCATACTTATATGTGTACAGTAACAAACACAGAAAAATCAACATTTATAGCACTCATAAGTCAAAACGCCAGATTTGAGCCTATTCAGAGATTATTTTTATATACGTTTTGTTTATAAAAAAGTGTAATGCGTTGATGTATCGATTATTCCTTCTTTTTACATGTTGAATGTATCTTGGGAAGACCCTGGACAAACTAATACTAATTTAGTATGGTGACCTGCCTAACCTATTCCAGCGGTACCTGACAGTGTCGTTTTACTTATGCCTGATACCATAGTACACAACATGTACAATTTACATACATGACAATTTAAATACATGACAATTTAAATACATGTATGTAGGTAGGTAGTATATGCAAGCACGAAGTATATGCGAGCGAGACATATGTTGCGCTACCCCCTAAACTTTATGTACCGTTCTTTTAGGGAATCCGGTTCCTTGCATGTGCAGATATTATGTACGAACAAAATTGGAAGCCAAGCACGGAATAAGGAACCGCCCCACATCAAAAACGTCGGTTCCCCTTACCCAATCTACATACTAATCTGCCAATTCCAACATTGCACCGATTCGTTCGATTTGTTCGATTTGTTCCAGAGCTCAATGCGCCCATTGCTCGACACTCCTTATCCTACTTTTTCTCTCTTCTATATTCGTCAAGGCGCATTGGCAAAAGGTCAACTGTCGGCAGCATTCATTCACCTGGCAAAAAACATATACATACATATGCCATTGGTCATTGGTGTACCATGGTAACTCGTTAATGTGATTATGTATTTATAGTGTCTCGTTGAGCTTTTTTTAGCCCTTCAGCAGCCACGTCGCGCTGGTTCGTGCCGATTTCCCCCTTGCGATTGACCGCCGCCCCTCCGTCCTCATATTCGCATATTCGCAAACCCGTCCGATCGCGTTCCCAACACCACAACCATGGACCAGGCAGACATACCGGCATTGCTGTCGCGGCTGGCTAGCGACGAAGATGCCGCGCGGAAAATGGCTGTTTTTAAACTGCAGTCCTCTATAAATGACCCTTCCTTCGCCGATGTATTCATATCCTCTGGCGGTTTAATTATACTACGGCGTCTTATCATGACTACCGGCGGAAATACCCTCGCATATTCGCTACAAAGTCTCAGTCGGCTGCTTGAGGTGGACATGGGATGGGATATTTTCGAGGGCCCGACTGCGGGTGATCTAGTTGAGCGCGTTGTCGAACTCATCGTCACAAATCCTTTGGTCAACATTCTTCGAGGTGCTATGTCCATTCTCGTCGCACTTGTCAGCCATTCGCAGTCTAGCTCGTCAGGAGGACGGGTACCTGTATCGTTCGGCTTTCGCGCATTAAAGCCAGCTGTCGCCGTGTATCCACAGTTCTTCGACCTCGTCATCCAGCAATTAAATTCGGCGGACCACGCCCTCTGCGCCAACGCACTTATGCTGATCAACGCTCTCATAAGGGACGCCGTGTCAGGCGAGTCTAATCTCGACAGCAGTAAGGCAGCTGGTACTGGGGAAGAGTGGCCTAAATTTATAAGGAGATTACAAGATCTGGGTTTAATCAAGGCGGTATACAACCTGATGCAGAGTTCGGCACTGCAGGATCTTGCACACCCGCTGTTGGAGTTTCAGTCTCTTACTAAGGTGCTGCTTCAAAAGTGGCGGCAAGTTCAGGTTGACGTTGAAAGACCTGAACACAGGAGAGCGCTAAAAGGGCTTCATCTTGCCAGTGCGCCAAATAGAGACCATGCGAATGGCGGAGGGAAAGTTGAAGAGCTTCAGGAGTCTGGAAAGAAGGGTAGCAGAAGACACAACCCTGAGAAGTGGAGAAGGCTTGGCTTCGAGACTGAGGGTCCGGCGGCAGAGTTTAATAATACGGGGTTCCTTGGGCTTATGGATCTTGCGGACTACGTGAGAAAGAACGAAGATGGATTTCAGAAGTTACTTCTGGAGCAATCCACCAAGCCGCTCCACGAACGTTGTCCTATTGCCAGGTCCAGCTTAGCTGTTACCCTTATTTTGTACGAACATTTCGATTGCGATAAATCAGAAATGGAAGATCTAAGAGGATATCAATTATCGGACGGAAAGCACCAAGATAAACTCTTCCGACCGTTGCTTCTTCAATGGTCTAGATTACATACAGCTGGTTTAAATGCATTCTTTAAGTTATGGAAATCTACGGGCGCGGAACAGGAGGATTTTGAGAAGGTGGCGGAATTGGTTCGTATACTTGTCGACCAGGTCGTAGGACAGGCTGGCCGATCGAAGGACGTCTTAGAGGTCGAGGACGATCTAGTTGAATACGACTTAGGGCGGCTGCGCGAGCTCCAAATGGAGCTCCTAGAACTCTCGTTCGACGACCAATGGGGCCAGCACCTTTACAAAGTGCGGGAAAGCTTGAACCAGGAGGCCCTCACGTTTATCAAGGAACAGCGTGTCCGATGTCTCTTACAAGGTTGCTGGTTTTCGAAGCCATCAACGCGAAAAGACGACCAAGGGAATAACGTACCGAACCGTCGTGCAGCTAATGGTACACTTTGGAGGTACGCTAAATTGTCACACAACCGCCGCTATCTGCACTGGGCCGATTTTGCGTTCCGAACCGGGCCGGAGCCGAATTTGGATGCGCTTAGCGAAAAGGTAGATCTACGAGAAGTTAGCTCTGTCGCGTCTAATGTATCTGCTCCGTCCGGTGACGCGGGCGGCGAGACAAGCAATAGCACAAAGATTACAATATTTGGCTATCTTAATGCCGACGAGGCTAATAAAGCCAAAGACCTGGGCGACATAAAGGAGGAGCCATTGCTCACTCTACATCCTTTGAACCATAGCCTAGCATCGGAGTGGCTCGACGGCTTGCTAATGCTGCTTGGCCAAACCCCGATAACAGCAGAGACTAACAAGCTCATCAAGCTGGTACAAGACTATGGCATGAAGATCAGACTGTTGAATGTCCGGATGGAAGCCACTTATTTGGGCCCACCAGAGGGTGCTGGTGTGGTGCCGAGCAGAGAAGGACTGGATGATGATTATTGGTACGAAATTTAATATGGCTCCCTCCACGAATATGTAAAGGCATCGGGCGTCATGAATTTTGGGTCGCATACTTACTATTAGTACAAGCCTGCGACCTAGAGTGCAGAAGGGGTGGTATCATTACACTGGTTTCTACGTTAATCGACATACAGACTCGCCCGCAGGGGATGAAGCTTTTACGGCGGATCGTTTTTGTCCGAGGATACCACGTTTTGTTTTTTGTACTCTTAGAGAATATACCCACGACTGAATTGAGAATCGATATTGTAAATAATCGACTTATAATCAGCTGTATTTTAGGACTTCTTAACATAGGATCAGCTTGACTTAAAATAACCATAAGTTTATACATAAAACTCCTACTATAGTTCCAAGTTTAACCGCCTAGCTCGCCTGGATTTATTTAGTACCTAGGTAGTTAAAACTATTATTCGTGAGATCTAACCTACTGAACGTCCTACGATGCGCCGCGGGTGGGTTTGCCAAGCTTTGCGGGTAATACCTTAGGTAGGTACCTATGTATATGTGCATAGGAGTTATACTAGCGCGGTTGCTTCCCGGTATCCACTTATTATGCAGGTTTAAGTTACAACCGGTTTTCAGCCCAGCCCCAACCACCTGGCATCCGCATGGCACCACTAAAGAATTCCCCACCCGCTGTCACTCCTAATCTTTGAGTTTATCGTCATTGCTGTGAAACATTTCCGTTTACAACTCAAACGGTCTACATTCGGACAAAGATACTTGTATTGAATTCATATGATATGATTACAAATACATACTTCGGAATAAATACAACCAACGAATATCAAAGAAGCTTACCTAACAAAGATGCGACGGTCGGGCGCTCCTAGTCCGTCGGGCAAAGTCCCACTGAATGGGCACTTTAGGAACGGTATTTGGTATTGTAAGTCATGCTTTAAACTTAATAGATCGTATCTGCTACCGCACGACAAACTAGGTAATTAACTTATCGTTCGGAAAACTAGGCAACTGTATTCCTCGCCTTCCCGCAGTCCAGTACCTGGCTAAGCGAGAGACCGCCAATAAGGGACGATCGTTTTACGCCTGCAAAAAGGACAGAAACAAAGAGAATAAATGCAATTTCTTCTTGTGGACTGAGGACGCCCACGTGCGCGAAGTTGATAACGTCTTGACTAATTCACGCAGCGAAGCTGAGGGGACTCCCAGTCGGCGGCCTAAGAAGAGGCAGCGAACGCTCCATGAGAGCATAACTCCGGCGAAAGAGAAGCGACAGGGGAAGACTCCTGTTACTAGTCTAGCAGATCTAGACCGTATACTTAACCCCGGTTCTCCTTCTGCGACAGCTCAAAGCTCGACTATGAAGACTAGGTCTAGCTCCAAGGAGACGGCCAAAAGTGTACAGAAGAGCGCTTCATCGGACGAAGACGATGACTCAGCTCACACTTCGGACGACGCTCAGGCGCAGTCTGACTCGGCGCCAGACACGCCATCAGCAGCGCCGAAGAGAAAACGGTCGGATGTCGAGGAGTATAGCGACCTTTCCTCCGGCGAAGAGCAGGAACTCGTCGCTCTGGCCAATAGCTCAGCCCAACTCCAAACCAAGCAACGCAATGCCTTCGCCACCCCCTCCGGCCCTCGTACCCTCATCGAAGACGGCATGGCGACCCCACTGACCGAAAAGCCCCTCCGCCGCGTGCTCTTCACAGACCCCTCCCCCACTACTCCCAAGCGGGACCTGGCCGCGTCCTCAACCAGCCCCCCGTCCTCTCAACAACAGCAACAAGACCCCGCTACGCCCGGCAAGGAACGGGAGCTCACGCAGGAAATCATGGCGCTTCTGTACGATCAGAACATCGACGGCGTCGTGCGCCGCAAGATAAGGAGCACCTTGGATCGGCACGCGGCGCGCGCCAAGGGTCTCGAGAGAGGCCGCGATGCGTCGCGCGAGGCGGCTAAGAAGGCGGAGGCTAGGGTCGCTGAGTTGCAGCAGCGGGTCGCGGATTTGGAGAATCAGAGGAGGTTGGATGGGGAGGCGAGGCAGAAGATGAGGACGGATCTGATGAAGTTGTATCGGGAGAGCTAGGGAGAGGGGGAGAAAGAGGGAGGGGAGAGGATGAAGGACTAGGTTTATTTTAAGTTGCGCGTTTGACTTTGCGCGGCGGCGCTTGGGGTAGTGTGTGTCTGTTTACCGCGGAGCTTGAGAGTCCGTTTTGTGGACGGTTGGCTTGGTTAACTGTATTTGATACTGAAGGATACCCTTTGGTTTTTTACTTGGTGGAAAGACATCAGTTAAGTACCTGTTAGGATTACGAATTATGGCCATGGTTGTAAGGCGTTAATATCATGCTGTTTCAATATACGTCCAATTTGAAGGTTGGGTACGTTATTAAATAAGATCCCAGTTCTGGTTGCTTTCGTAGCTGTTCAGTTGAGTTGCCGGGTTGTGAATAATATCGGTTAAATTTGTCATAGTTATGATATATGTGTCGTTCAAGAAGACACTACTAATTGGAATTATAACACTGGATATTGCGCCTTGATATCGTAGTATAAAGTATCGCAATCGTGAAGGTTTATTGAGGTATCAGGATCTCCTGTCCTTATATTTTATCATAACATCGTCTTCATCTTCTTAGGAGCAACCGGGGACCTAATCAAACGGTATCCGGCGTAGCTCCCCAGCACCTTGTTTCCGCATCGCCTGGGACGCGGCGATTGCACTGGGCACCTTAATACCACAGCAATCGCCCCAGCTACTACCATTGTGCACGTGTTTCACTCCATCGTGTTCAACAACCACTCCTCCACCTTCGGGATCGTTTTCTTCATTCGATACGCCTGCTTCGGACTCGGTACTCATGCCCTCTACGGCAGGGACCAGTGAACCGAAGAGAAAGTGTTGCATCACTGGCAACTTTTTGAGCACCTCTTCGACAAACATCCTTCTCATACCGCCCTCAATCTTGGACCAGTTCTTCGCCGACGAGATGTCGTCTAGCATCGGGCTATGCCAACGTAGGCCTTTGACGGTCTTTGTGCTGTTAACAAAGTTCACCTGACCAAGATACATGAAGTCGTGGCCAAATTCTTCCAGGGTTAGTTCCTGGTGTATCGCCATTGGGGTGATAAAAGGATGATGGAGAAGCTGGCTGGCCCCGAAAAGAAATGGTAGGAATTGGTAGTCGTCTAGACCCCAAACGCCATGGGAACCAGCTGGCTCGAGATAGTATGTTGATTGAATTGTTCGCATAAGCTCTAGGTACCGGGTAAAGACCTTGAGGACCAGTGCTTTGAAATCAGCTCTTTTCACAATCTGAAGCTGATACAAGCATAGCAGCCATATTATGAAATTTAATTCATGACCTGAGCCATAGTCTATTCTGGTCCGGTTGCCAAAAGACTGGTTAAGGTACGTCTCGACCTCTGAGATAGCATCTTGGGAAGTCAGACCGAGCTTCTCATGCCAAGACGGACTGGTAGCTTTGGCCTTGTCAAGAAAAGTACGGAAAACCTTGTTTCCAAACCGCGATCCGTCGGCATCGTCGGGAGGGGTGGCTAGAACTAGTGCTTCGACCTCATCGAGAACACCGATGATAGATTTAATGATGGGACTGCAGTCGTCATCCTTGATAGCTGATATAGGAGTGTCTACTACGGCATCTGCGAGGCCGAAGACAAATGCTAGAATGAGGGTGCGAGTTTGTGATGAGAGGAAGAGTTTATGATCCTCGGTAGATAGGATTCGCCGGGTGGGAACCTGGAATGAATGAGATGAAGGATCTGGTGGTGGCGGTAAAGCAGGCGTTTCTGGTGGTGGAAGGGGGTTTGATGGTGGAGGCCGTCGACGGCGCGGCTCTAACTTGGGGATCTTGTCCTTAAGATTCGGTATTGTTTGTGGGGGATTTTGGGTAGCCATGATAGTTTTAATCATAGAGTATCTATGAAAATGTTGATCAGACTCATCTCAAGGCGATCATGATAGGTGATAGGTTGATTATAAAGAGATGATTGGAAGTCAAGTACCTACTTTAAGGTAGGTACGTAACGCCACCCTTCCGCAATGACGCCCGCATTACTAAATAATGAATTCATGTATCGAATTGATGAAGGAAATAGAAGTTATGAGTATCTTCTGGTTATCTTTATGTACTGGACCACAGCTGCACAGTGCAATGGTACAACTATGGCGGGGTTAAAGTACTTGCATCCTATGAAATGCAGCCGCGACCAAATTTACACTACCAAGGGTCCTTGGCTGTCAGGTCCCTACCCAATTGAGAAAAAGTTCAATCCCAATCGTCAGATCAAGAAAAGAACCTCACCCATTCCGATTTCTGCGCAAACACAATTTACTACAACCAAGAAATCCCCTTACAATTCCTCGCGAAAATGACGGTCAATACCGAACCAGAAGCATTACTGTCTCACCTTCAAAATGCAGACGGATCCGCTACCTTCTCTTTTGCTGGCTATACCGTGGTTGGGGCTGTAAATGGGCCGATCGAGGTTCAGAGACGAGATGAGCTCCCGGAGGAGGCGGCCGTCGACGTGATCGTACGACCAGCTGCAGGGGTTGGAGGTATGACTTCCTTCGAAGCACGCTGACCCTTATATATAAACGCAACTCACCATTGCTGTTTTATAGGCACTAGAGAAAGGCACTTGGAGTCACTGATCCAGTCGACTTTGCGCCAGATCATCCTTATTAACAACTTTCCGAGGACCCTGATCCAAGTTGTTCTACAAGTCACCACTGCACCCGAGAACGAATATGTCAATGCTAAAGTAGCACAGGCTACCTCAGTAAGCTGCACTTCAATATCGTTTTTGGGAGAAACGTAAGAGCATACTAACCGGACGTGCAATATTCCAGAACCTGCCCATTTTGCCTGCTCTACTGCAGACAGCAGTACTCTCGCTCCTCTCTGCCGCCCTTCCGTTGACGGCGACATTGACATCGACTTCCCTGGCTATTATCGCTGATGGCCAATCGAAGAAAGTCGTCTTAAACCCTTCGCCGCGAGAGATTGAAACATCGCAATCGTTCCATGTCTTCTCGTTTACCTCTCACGATGAATTGATACTCGCAGAAAGTGAAGGAAGCTTCACGTTAAAAGAATGGGACGATGCTTTTGCCGTCGCTCAACGTCAATGTTGCCCTCCCACCACTACGGGCGATGGAGATGTCCTCATGGATGATGATAGCCTACCTGGCGCGAACTTGAAGCAGTTTACACGATCTACGCTGGAGGGGAAAATAGCCTCCGACTTACATTGGAAGTGAGAGATTCTATCTCGTACATCCTGGGTCAACACAGGCTATATTGTATGGATAGAATCTACGGCAACAATGCTGGATTGGCGGTCAGTAATGTACGTTGGTTTAGTCCCGCTCAGACATGTTTGATACTCCCGAATCGGCGCATCGCTCTCACGGAGATGCTATGGATTAGGGATCTTCTACCGGGTACGGTGGATCGCCTGGCTAGTTAATGGGGTTCTTGTTTACATTAGCATGGCAAACGTTGATCGGATGGTTCCTTTGGTAGGCAACGGGAAAACCGGCAGCATCCTAGGAAGTTAATGACTAGGTATGCGTTGCCAATGCTAGCCAAGAGTTTGACAGATATGCTAGGCTAACCGACGAGTCTGTCACAGGAATACTGAGAGGCGAAGAAAGCGCTTCGTCCCGAGCACCAATCGAATGCGGTGGTGATAGCATGGCGCTCTTTACAAGATGTGCCTGCAAAGATTCACAGCGCATATTGTTTGTAGCCACGTTTTCTCAGCTAGGACTTTTACGAGGTACCGAAAAGACGAGTTGACAATCCTATCGAAATTCGATTTATTTGTGATGCAGTGGAGTGGCGGTTAATGGTTGTTTCTGGATGTGTGATCTTCGCAGGGGGGGAGACCACTTCGCTCGATGATGTTCCAGACGCAGGATTCGTCCTCAAGTGAAGGCCCAAAACAAATCAGCATAATGCAGATATCTGCAGGAGTTCAAGGAGGCTCAAGATACCCCTTCAGCTTCCGGTTGATTGATTAGTCGATTGAGAAGATGGGTTGCAAGAACTCCGGGAGCATTTGCAAGCCCTGCATTGGGGAGCTGGAATTTCGGAAAAGATGAGACGAGTCTAGCCTCCTTAACGCAGCGTTCGCTTACGCACCCCTGCCTTAAGAGTTACAACGTGAGACCTGGCGCGAAAAGAATTCACAACATCTGTTAGGGAAAACAGGAGAAAGTACTAGTGATGGTGGGTCAAACAAAACCGCCACGTACCCTCCATTTTCTAATTTTCTATGACTTTTTGAGAATCGAGATAATACAAGACACTACATACAGCGATGTATGGGGTGGCGGCTGTCACTTCGGGTCTTACTATTGGATGCAGTATACGAAGTTACAGCCTTCGCGACAGCTCCTATCCTCCTTATCCTCTCCTATCTTCTCATTCATTAGTGCCATCCTTCTACAAAGAAACCGCGTACGTAAGGATTCTATGCACTATATAGAGTACTTAGGTACTTAAATACATCTACATATACCCCCACCCTGAGCCGGATCCTTACCTGCTCCACCCAGCTGCTACTCCACAGTCCATGCACGCTGGCACGGAGGTACTGCTAGCTAGGTACAGATCCGTACTGCTCAAGCATCTCCACAGTCGGTCCTCCATCTCTATCACCAAGTAGCCGATTTACATATCTTAATAAGTGAGTCGGGCGCGACTGAATTCTTGAGTCTCTCGTCTAACTGGATCTTCAGTCACTCAGACCCAAGTCTTTCTTTTCTATCAGCTGTTTGTGAGAACAGCAAAGCAGAACTCTGGAAGTTCCTGCAAACTCAAGCTTTAATTTTGCGTTTGACTATTTCTCGGCCTGGCTGCTACCTTCGTTCTGTCTACCAACACATAGTCATTCGCAGAGTTAAACTCGAGTTGTTTCATTCCTATTCTTTTTTAATAACAACATATATACCCCTCGACAATTCGCTTTTCTATCGATCCCAACATTGTTAATTTTCTTCCACTGACCTTTTCCTCGACATTTGCGAATTCCTTCCACGACCGATTTCTCCTTCAGCTCGATCATAAGAACAAGCCACTAGCCGGAGAGCTTAATTCTAAACGCAGTGTACCTACCATATACCTAATCCTAATCGAGAGCCAGCCCTCACATCTCTTGTGTGTCCTAAGACAACATACTCGCCGATTCGGTCTCCAGAAATCTGCCGCTGTTGTGACCATATCGTCGTCACATCTAGTGTCTCGATATCACGAGACTAGCATACCTCAGGAATAGCTCTGTAAGTTTTGCTACCCATGATTTGCTATGTCTCGGAGGTGAAGCGCCCATAGTGTGCCGTCACTGCATGGATTCTTTGCCGAGTGGCCACCAGCACCAGACTTGGTTACCTTGGCTATTATGAACCAGAATACGATCCCCCTCTTACTTTGTACACGTGCTGCCATATATAAGAATCCCCCGCTGACAAACTGTTGTTTTAGTGTTGTTCGTTGTACGACGTAAAGGTCCAAGTTGGGTACCTAGCTGGAGTTTCTGCACCGGTTCTAAATTAATCCTGCACGGTTCGGACATAGCGTAGGACCTTTGTGCTATCTTCGGATTCGCGGATTCGGCGGTTTCTGTTAAACCGCATCGATACTTTTTCGCCTAGGTACAAGCGTGTGGAGCCATGCCTAATTTAGGGTTAATGGGTTCGCCAACAATGGGGGTGCATCCTGTTCTTAGTAACAATAATAACACGGTGGAGGAAGCTGCTGACGGAGGGGTCGGGATCGCTGTCGGCCCCGTTTCTATGCAGTCCACTTCCATCATAGCCATTCTAGATCAAGATCAACCCCTGCGACAATCCGGCCCGCCTACAAAGTCCGACTCTGCGCCGCATTTTCCTTCTACTTCTCAATCCCACTGCCATGCTGACGGCAACGACACAAAACCTGAGCCTTCTGCTCTAGCCACCAAAGGTACCGACGCCATTCCTAACAATCAATCGCGCGGACACCGCAAGAACGCACCCTCTGTCGATGCCGTCCCGCGCCAAACTCTTATGAAAGCACTGGCTTCTGTCGCACGGAATAATAAACCCGAAGCGTTATCAATAAACAACATGTTGTCCGCCCACTCAGCAGCGGTCGATAAACGACCTGGCAATTCTTCGTCCTCTCAGCAACTCTCCGACGCTCTATCCGAGCTTGCCGCCCGAAACATAACTCCGACCACCGCATTCCCCTCTCTTCAGTCACCGTGCTTCTACCACAACCGATTTGATGACGCAGTCGATATTGATAAGGTCCTCGAGGAAATCAAAAACGACGAGTGGATGTCGCATTCCAGATTAGTGCAGACTGCCACCGGCGTTCGTGAAGTGTCGAAGCAGCTGCAGCGCCGGCCCATCCGCCGAGCTGTCCGAAGTGTCATGATCGTCACCAAAGCCCGCGATAATGAATTGGTGTATCTGACCAGGGAGCTGACCATGTGGCTACTGAGAACCCCCCGATACGGCTCAGACATAGGAGTCAACGTCTACGTCGATGCGAAACTACGCAACTCGAAGCGTTTCGGTGCTTCTAGCATTGTGGACGAAGATCCCCGCTTTGAGTCTATGCTTCGATACTGGTCTCCGGACCTTTGCTGGAGTAGCCCGGAGAAATTTGACCTTGTTTTGACCCTTGGTGGTGATGGTACTGTGCTGTTTACCTCCTGGCTCTTCCAAAGAGTTGTTCCTCCCGTTTTGTCGTTCAGTCTGGGAAGTCTTGGCTTCTTAACAAGCTTCGAATTTGAGAAGTATAAGCAGCATCTCAACAAGGTTATGGGTGACGATGGTATGCGTGTCAACCTTCGTATGCGATTCACATGTACCGTCTTCCGTAACGGCGCCTCTTCGGGTCAGGAGATGGAAGAGGGTGAACAATTTGAAGTTCTTAACGAGCTTGTCATCGACCGCGGCCCATCCCCTTATGTCTCCAACCTTGAGCTGTACGGTGACAACGAGCTCTTGACCGTTGTCCAAGCGGACGGATGCATCTTCTCCACACCAACTGGATCGACCGCATATTCCCTCTCCGCGGGCGGCTCTCTGGTCAGCCCTGACCTTCCTGCCATTCTCCTTACTCCTATTTGCCCGCACACACTATCTTTCCGACCGATGGTGCTTAGTGACACAATGCTACTTCGTGTCTCTATTCCGCGTAATTCCCGCGCAACAGCCTACTGTGCGTTTGATGGAAAAGGCAGGGTGGAACTGAAGCAGGGCGACTGTGTGACTATCACGGCTTCTCAATACCCTTTTCCCACCGTGATGCGTACCGGAACCGAATGGTTCGATAGCGTTTCTCGCACGCTTCAATGGAACACGCGAGCTGCCACCCAGAAAGGCTTCGAGAGCAAAATTGGCGGTTCCGTCAATGAAGACGATGAGCCGGAATGGGATATCGACACTGATTCTGCATACTATGCAAGTGAAGATGGCAGCACCAGCGCGAGTCCCTTACGACGACAGATGAGCCTTCTAAACATGTAGAGAATTATATTTAGAGTCTTGATTAGAGCTAGATGTTGGAGTTTTACACGCGGTTATGTCTGGTTTCCACTGCGTACGTTGTAGGAGGATTCAGGTGATCTCGATGCACCTCAAGGAGTTCATTGGCGTCAAGCTAGGAGTTTCCGTGGAGAATATAATCAAGGCGCTTCCTTAATGAGCAGCCGTTTGGTTTTTCGTTTGTTGGGCATTATAGATTTGCGGAGACAATACTTCATATTACGAGTACTGTACTCTCTTTACATTGCCAGTCGCAACGATGGCGATTAGGCTAGACTCTTACGAATAAGATCGTTACGAGGCCTATACTGAAGTGATCTAATCGTACGTGAATGTATTGTGAATTAATTATGAGTTTACATCTTAAGCGAGTCAAAGTTCGTGTATAGTGTATTGTACGAAGTTGGTTCGACGTAGGCTGAGTTGTGGACTCAATGTTAGGGTTAGCGAAGGCGGTGTAAAGCTGATCCTTTCATGTCTGTGGGATGGATGGATGCCTGGAGAAATGTTGACACCATCATATCCAACCTCCATGAAACCAATCATTGAGTCATACGGATCGGTGAGTATGGAAATATATGCTGATCTCATTAAGCCCCTGACAGGCAGCCATTGAATGCTGTGCCGTCCAAGGATGATCGCCTGGTTATTTAATATGTAATTGCTGATAACTCTAAGTAAATCAAAGCTTCACTTGTTATTATTAGACCACGGTACACTGTTTATTCTCAAGATATTCAAAACGTCACCATTAATTCTTAGTTCTCGAAAATGCCTCATTATACTCGCGACCAATACGTCGCCATCATTAACGATTTCTACACGTTTCTGACGAAAATGTATATCGCAGACTCGGCGTTGAAGCACCCGCCTGAAGGGGGTTGGCCTAACATCACGCCTGAGAATTGCAGCGGGTTTGGGAAGAATGAGTTCGTGGTGGACCTTCTAAAGCACCTTCCGTATATTCAAGGAGGACAAGACAACGACGTCGACATCTATTATAAATGTAACGTACTCGACTACTCTACCGTAACGCCTGAGCAGTTTAGCGGCACTTGGATCAAGATCGGAGAGATAGCTGCTTCCACCGACGAGCCAATACCGGCACATACGGTGGTAATCGCCGAGGGCCACGAGAGCGGCGGGGTGGACTTATTACTTGACACGGAGAAGGGTACTATCATCGAGGAGATAATCCGGCATCGTCGGGGTGGCGAGTGGGACGTGATGGAGTACTTTGGCAATCTCAAGCGGAAATACGAGGGGTTACAGACGTTCCACATTCCCGGAACCGAGACTATCCAGGAGGTGCCGGATATCTTTAACGAGGACGAAACGGCGACTCCAGAAAAAGGCCCGGTGCGTGAGGACGGATTCTTCTTCCCGACGGAGAGGGATAATCGCTGGATCCGCCACATCTACCGGAGCCATGGGTGGCCGGGTCCCGAGTACCGCCGTGACGAGTGTATGGAGGCTATTATTAGGTATAAGGCGATGAGGGAGGGAAGTTTGATCCCCTCGGCTGGGTTACTATGACGATGCATACTACATACCTATGTATTTGTCTGTCTCTAATTAGAGATGAAAATTAATGTCACGTCCATAACTAAGCTTTAAATTAGCTGCGTCTGCCCCACATCGATCACAAGCTTGAGAATGTTATATTATGGGACTTGAGAAGCCATCGTTCAGCCTCTAAACTTTGTTTACTTAGCTTGTTGCTTATCTTTTTAAGTGAGATAGATGGAATAATATTAAGTTCGGCCATGAGGTAGCTATCGATGGTTAGGTAGGTAGTTACAATAACTAATACATTTACATGTACGGACATCACTTCATAGGTACCCTTTGGTTGGTGTATCGTAGATCTCGGAGTGCTTTAGGTTATTACTACATACATCGTAGCTATAAATATTCATTTAATTGTGGCCTATGCACGCACTCACTCCTATGGGTTTGCCCCGCGTATAGGTAACTTGGCAACTACTAGGTAATAAGATTTACTTGATCGCAAACCCAATTGCCGATGTTCATCTCTCTCTTTTATGATCTAACTCGGTAACTCGGCAAGTACCGGACTCTTGCTTGTTTAGCGCATTCCAATTCCGCTTTGCAGTGTTTTGGTAACAATTAAGAGAAATTGGGCTGGTCTACCTGGAGATGGTCACGCTCTAAGTAAATAAGTTACCCTTTTAGGCTGACCTGTAACGCGATTGGGGCTGTGATTGGCCAATTTAAGGTGTGGCCCAAGCTTATGCATAAGATCTCAAGACGCGGTCCTGATTACTACTAGACTGACACGCCAAAAAAGGGCCCCACTAATGCATCTATTACTCCAGTACCAGCCTCTACTCTTTCTCTTTTCCCTTCCCTAACCCTAAGTCTAAGCCTAAGCCTAAGACCAAGATCATTACCTCTCCAACATCTCTTCTCTTCTCTTCTCTTCATTGTAGATTGTAGAGGGGACTCGTCTCTCGTTTTACTCCCTGTCCCGTCTATACTACCTTGTAGAATGCATATTTAGAATCGTCATTATCTATTAGAACAATGTCCCACTCTACCGCGTCCTCACCTCCCACCATGCCGCCCGTGCGCGAAGCACGCGAAGCGAGAGGGTCAGTCAGCTCCCAGAGCAGTAACCCGGATTCGAGCACAATGTCATTTGAATCCTCCTTCAGACTAGAATCCGGTTATCCTACACACGACTCCAACACAGAGAAACACCCCAAGGGCAAGCGGAAGAGAACTACGTGTGTACCCCCGGAGCCAACCCCCAAACCATACCCAAATCTCTACCCCAACCAGCTTATATCATTGCATGTACTAAACATATCCTGTATTTCTTCTATATAGGACACAGGATAAAGCTATTCTTGAAGCCGCGTACAACTCGAATCCGAAGCCTGATAAGGCAGCGCGTCTTGATATCGTGAGTCGCGTCTCACTCAACGAAAAGGAAGTTCAGGTTAGTATAATCCGTAGATCATAGCGGGACGCGTGAGGAACTTGGTAGAAACCGCGTCAGAATGAATTGGGTCTAATATACCCGCAGATATGGTTCCAGAACCGTCGGCAGAACGATCGCCGAAAATCGCGTCCTCTTTCGCCGCAGGAAATTGCGGCGCTCAGATATGGTGGGGGCGTGCAAATACTGTCATCCGACTCTATCCCTGCGCAGATGAGTTCGCAAGACGCACCTGCGCAGCCGGGGGAGACGCGTGTGGGAGACGAAAAAGCCTTCGATTCGGAGAAATCGCCTTTCAGCTCCCAGGACGCGAGCCCTCAGCACTCTGTCCATTCTTCCCCGAAGCTAAGCGCTATAGACCAATCTGTCATAGATAAGCTGGCGATACCAGAGCCTGAGGACTCTGGAAGACATACACCGCCCCCGCCCCAGAGGACCGAATTCGAAAGCCTCTCACTCTCTCAGATCTCGTCGGCGTCAGTCGCGTATTTGGCAAACCGACGGAGCTTCGACAACTCTTTCTCAACACCCTCTACCTGGGGACGGGCCGGGGATGAGTCGTTTAGGTATGTGCCGTCTTTTTTTTTTTCCTCAGATGGAAGCAGAACCACTAATTATTTTACTAGATTTGAGTCGTTTTCATCCTCTTTTAACTCAGCCGCTAGCAGCTCTCCTGCCTCAATTCTTCCACCGCCTTCCTCGGCATCTTCATCTCGCGTCCGTCTATCACTCTCCCTGGATGGAAAGGCTGAGCTGATTTCCTCTCACCCGTCACCACCCACACCCGCCCAGATGCAATTACCAGGAGACGCGGATACGTTACCTCCCGTCCGCAGTCACAGGACCCTCCACAGGAGCCGAAGCGCTCTACCCGGGATCACTCTCCCGCCCATCTCAACCCTTACTGCTCATCTACCTCCACAGCTCACCCGAGGCCGATCTCGAGACGTACATGCCTGGGAATCCTGTTGCGAAGCAGACACTCGTGATGAGCTAACGAAGCAAGCCGAGAACGAGTCTTCTGGGTCTGCACTCGCAGCTATTAGCCTTCTGCGATCGAGCAGCAGCTCCTCTAGTCTTAGCAGTCTACTTCATAGCCACAGCATGGCGAACGTGCTCCAGTCCAATCCTAACAAGCGCAATGCGCCACAGAACAAACCCGCACACCGAGAAGGAGTAGCGAAGAAGGCTAAACTCAGCCGCACAACTAGTAGCGTGGCACGTATGCAGACCCTTCCACCTACATCGCTATTAGACACTCGACCGGAAACGATCGATTTGGAGAAGCCAGGAAAAGGCAGTCTCACCACCATACTCAGCCCATCCGGCGATTCTGACAAGGAGAACTGGAGCCCAAACTCGGAGGGTAACTCTCATCGCCGACGACCGTTGCCTTCCCCTAAGGTTCAAGCTCAAATCATCCCAAGCAAAAACCCTCGTCGCGTGGGACGCCCGCTTGGCGAGCAGGATAACACGGCCAAACGTTCGCTCTTCGGAAACAGATCCAACACGGCGCCTTCGCTAAAACCGCGGGATTCGCCCATGTCGATCTTTGAGGATAAGGAGGGCGCAAATGGGGACAACGAGCCTAGGAAACTACCACGAGGCTCGGTTAGCCCTACTAAGCGCGGAGACCTAGACTGTGTGGCTGGACTGCTGTCGCTGAGTCAGGGGAACTGGCGCTGAAAAGCTGGCCCAGACAGACCCCTCAAGACTCGTATTCCTTTTTTAAGGCGAGATAAGCCAAGCTGAACTCTAGTATCAGAAGTTATTCCAGTGGCTACTGTAAGCGGAACGGTCTGGATATTTGCTAGGTCATATTGCATACCACGCGAAGGAGAAACCACCCCTGGAAAGGAAATATGCTCCAACTTGTTTGTGGATAGCGGAACTTGGGCCTCTAAAGAGGAGAAATGGATTGATTGTTTGACCGGAGTTTTCGGTTAGGCGGGTAGGAAAAGAAAAAAAAAAGGCGCGGGCGGCTGAAGGAAGGAAGATTCTAATCTCTACCTGGTCTCCCGCGAGCCGGTTGGCGTATTCCCTCGTCTTTTCTAAGTGGCGTGGCGTGCTTAGTTAGGCTAACCCACCGCGTGGAGGGGAACTACATACAGGTGGCGATGGTGATGGCGATGGTAGTTTTCCGAGTTCGTTGGTGGGCTGGGAAGGAGTAGGAGTAGGTGTTGTTGGCTACCTACCTATCTAGGTACCTAATGTTTACGCGATGGTTCGGGGGTAAGGGAGGTGTTCTATAGGTGTTTTCCCGGATCTGATCTGTGTGTGCGTGAGGAGGGACGTAAGCGCTGCTTCATGGGCATTGCCGTGATGTAAACATCTCAATAAAGCGAATCAAACTATACTGCTGATATTCATCTATAATTGAGAATGGGCCTGGTGTAAAAGTCATATATGTTCGACAGATTCAGTTTACGAATAAGGGGGGAGGGGCACGTTAGGTAAGGCGTAGATGAAATACGTCAGGGGTGCTCATTCTCTCGCATTGGTATCATCCATCTCGTAATTATACATGCAGCAATACGTGCGCGATCCAAACGACCCAAAGGCACGTCGATTTCCTTGTTTTCTTTCGCTATTCGTTTGTTTGTGTGTTTGTTTGTTTTTGTTTGTTCTAGGATGCATACTTTCTCCCATTTCCCCCTGCCCTGCCGTACCCACCACATCTCACCCTTACAAGCTCGACAGCACGCTCTGGACACCCGCACTCTTCGCATCGTCTCTGCTCTGAATGAACGCCTTGAAATCCGCCTTGGCGAGCTTCTTCGCGGCGGCGGGGCCCGCAGACGAAGCGGCCAGGTTGCGGGAGCGTTCGCGCAGGGCCTCGGGGCCGATGATGAAGAGGTAGCCGATTTCGGTGAGCAGCTCGACGGCAACCTCGACGTCTTTGGCTAGAGGCCACTCCTTGAGGGCGGCTACGTAGCCGGCGATGTCCTTGGTGACCATGAGGCCGCCGGTGGCGTTGACCTTGAATTTCTTGAAGTGGTCGAAGAGCAGACGTTGGATCTCGAGCGCGAGCTCGCTGCTGAAGACCTCGAGGTTGGCGCCGTCGACGGCCTGTGCGATGAGCTTTGTGCACCGCGATAGGAACACGCATGTCGTGGTGCATGTTGGTGTCTGTAGCGACTCGATGATGCTGAGCTCGTCTTTGGGTAGGAAGTCGAGTTTCTTCTGCTGGGCGAGAGACTTGGCGACCCAGTTGACGATGACGTCCACGGTGCTCTTCATGATGCTGCTGGCTTTCTTCTCGATGCTTTCGATGCCCATCTTCGATTGGGCCTCCATGCTCCTTCGTACAGTGGTGTTGGATTCAGCAAGGCGGATGAGCACCATATTTATGAAGCGGTTCATCATGCTACCGATCGTTACGGCGGGGCGGACAGAAGGTAGATAGCTAAGATCCGGTTCTGTCTTCACGTTCTCTTGAGATGTGGCCTTCTCAAGAGCTGCTTCCAGAGCCGTCTCTACGTAGACTTGACCCATGTTAGTCAGGAGGAGATTAAGGAGTATAGCAACGTCTTTTGGAGTGTCGCTTGGACTGCCCAGTTCGAGTGTTCGTCGGACACTTTCGGCAAGCCATGTCAGCATCCTCTTTGCTATGACTGTGCTCAAGACACCCTCTGCCTCTGAAACTTCGATTTCGTTTTTGTTCTTATCGTTTTCCTGGACACCGGCAACCCTCAACATCATGGCTTTCTGTGTCGGAGTGAGATCGGATGATTCAAGCCGCTCCAGATACGCGTCCTTAGCGGATGCCATGAGCTGGTTGGTCTGTTGGGCTAACGAAGCCATAAAACCAGTAGGTGCCTTCTTCCTCCTGGAGTGATAAATATTATACTTGAAGAGCAGGGAGTTGAACAATTCTTCCAAGCTCCTCTTCTCGCGCTCGATATACGAATTACCTACTATATACGGAACAAATAATTCTTCCATCTGCTGATCTAACGTCTGGGATATTTGGGGAGAGCAAGGCTCCGGGTGCTCTGTAAGGCCGTGCGCCTTCAAGTCCTCTACCAAGGCACCAATATAACTTCTAGATGAGTGGAGGGATCGAAGAAAAGCTAATGATGAGATGGTATTGGCTTTCTCTAGCACCAACTCCAGCCGTTGTTGTATCGACTGCTGGAATACGCGCTGTATAAATTTGATCAGGACTGTTTCATAGTAAGGGAATGCCCTTTTAATGATAAACGACTCCTCTTGCATGACGATTTTAACCTCGTCTATAAGTGATTGAAGGCTGGGCTCAACGCCCGGTGGCTCGGAGTCGGGGTCTGCCAGCTGATCCCACGTTTCTCCATCCATCGTCACCTCGTCGGTAATAAGTTGGTCTCTGTCAATGAAGAACTGATGTTGGTTCACAAAAACAGCGATCACGCTGGCACCTCCGTTGAAGTCGTATAGCACTTTGGCACACTCCTTCATGTCCTCGAAGTTTTGCTTACGGTAGCTGTTGTTAAACTGCTTCAGTAGATCTTGCTCTAGTGTTTCGCAAAACTTCTCTAATATTTCACGGGTATTATATCTTCTGTCATCGTCGATATCGCCATTGGCAAGGCCATTGCGGAATCCATTCGTCTGACCCCAGGAAATAGGGTCCAATCTTTGGCTAATTCGCATCAGCTGGTGTGCAATCACGGCGCATCTCACTTTATTTTCGGAGCCCCCTTGACGTTGGATATCTTGTAGTAGTGTAAGCTCGCCAGTTTCGCTAACTTGGAGCCAGCATTGTATTAGAAAGTTAGCGTCCAGCGCCCGCCTTCGTTTCCTATCCAGCTCTTCTAGCTTCTCTCCAATTTGGACTGCAATATTCCCGCCTACATCGCCACGGTTGCCTCGCTCATTTCCATTCGGGTTATTAAGGGTGAGATCTAGGGCTTCGAATTGGTCGATGGACTGATCCAACTTGCGACCGAGAGTATCAACGGTTTGGTCATGCTGAATTTCTCCGCGGCGGGCTTGTGATAGGAGATCCGACTCCTTTGCTTGTAGCTCCTCGGATAGGTTACTTAAGCCCTGTAGTGCATCTTGAATAATAAGTGTTAACGTGAGGCTCGTATTAAGACTAAGGAGAATGATGGAACGACAACATACTCTCAAAGGTCCTGATCAAGGGCTTCGGATCAAAGGGTTGCTGAGCTTGTCCAGAGCGACGGTTGAAAGACGCAGCATTCTCAGCAAGTTCATCAACAAAATCACGGACTATGAAGTCTTTACTAGAGAAATCATCGATAGTAAAGCTGGGACCCTTTGGGAACAGAGCGCGCGATCCGGAGCCTGTCCGTTCCATGGCATCAAGCAGCGATGGCTAATTTGTCATTTGTCCTGCAGCATGGGGAGAGGGAATGAGGGGGGTTTTCGGTGGTAATATGTGCTGTAGTTGCAATCAGGAAGCGTCGTTGTTACTTTGAATGCTGAATGCGCCGACAAGGCGAAGTTGATTTGATAATGTTTCAATGAAAGCTGCCAGCCATGACAGGCTGCAGGGGTACAGTGTTAGGTACGTACTACCCTCCATCTGACGCTAAGGTTCTAGCTCTGTAACGCTATGGGGTGGGAATGGGATTACCTAAGCAGCTTGGAAGGTTACCTACATGCCACGCCACGTTAATTGTGGTTATTGTGGCTGAGCTCCAGTGACATACGTAGATGACCTGAGGTATCGTGGCCTATCGCTAACCTTTTAACATCTGATCCAAATAATCTGATAATTCAGGCTTGACAAACCCAAGCCTCTCAACTCAATTGCGTGTTGAAACGCGAACCTCGCTCACCACTTATTATTATGACTTAATATTATGCGAGAAATTGTTTCATAAACCCTCAAATCCAAATTCTTACGTCGCTCATTTTCTATCTATAATCATTACACATATTACGACATCATGTCGTTCACTTCTAAGGATACGAAACTCTATCGAGAGGACGAGAGGGCCGGGCATACGAAGCTCGGTGCAGAAGAGCGAGAAAAGCTCGTGAAGGTACGTGCGTTAAACTTCGAGCCCGCGCATCTGCTAACGTGTCCAATTATAGAATTATCTACCCTCTCCTCCCAATCGATCGCCAAGTCGGAGTCGCAAAAGGAAGCGGGAGACGTCCCACTTTGGTGTTAGGAAATTCCTCAAGTCACAGCTCCATTCATTGCTATACATAATTGTACACGCAATCTTCTCCGTTTATATCCGAATTCGCACAGCCTACCATGCCGTTACCCTCCGAATCCTTTCCATACTTAGACACCATCATAACACTCCAGACTACGTCCGAAGAGATGTTAGCGTATATAGAAGGTTGCCCAAACACGTTAGTATAATCTTGACATTGGAAGATGGTGGGAGAGCCGGGGATGCCTTGGAAAAGCTCGTCAACGAAGCTTCCGAGGTAGCAGCATGGTGTGCCTCGGCAGGTATTCCTCGATTATCCGTATACGAGAGAACAGGTAAGGGTCATAATCCTGCTAGTTTGCGTTAAATATTCCAAAACTAACAAGTATGCATAGGGATACTTAAACGCTATATGCCTCAAACACATCGTGCCTTAGCACACAAGCTGAAGGGCTGGTTTGGAAAGCACCAAGCTCCGCCGCTCTCCCTCATTACTCGTGGTGCCTCACCTATTTATTCTGTAAATCGAGTGTCCTATTCACAAGACCAGGTTCCATTAGAGGTCATACTCGTCTCTGAAGACGACGGCCGGGAGGCTATGGTAGATCTTACCAAGGTTCTAGTCCAGATGGTCCAGCAAGAGAAGATATTGGCCAGCGACATTACATTAGATGTTCTCGACCACGAGTTATCCGAAGCCGTTATGCCGGAACCGGACCTACTCATCTCATTTGAGCCTTATGTCGATCTGCAAGGATATCCGCCTTGGCCAATCCGGCTGACCGAGATTTACTGCGCGCCTGATAACCAAGGCGTATCATATCAAGTATTCCTCCAAGGTTTACAGAAGTATACGGAAGCAACCTTCAAACTTGGAAAATAGGACTGGCAGGTTTGCCTAGATCGCAGCGCAGAGCGAAGCTGGATCAGGTTCACGATTTAGACAACGCCAACTCCTAGTTGGCAGCACTCCCATTAATAGACGCCACATAACAATGGCATTCTGTCGCCATTCTCCACACAACCCGTGTAAACCTGATATTGGACCATTGGTACGCCACCGAACCTCGCCCAGTCAGAGCTAGCCGTTCAAGCCGTCACAGACTGGGCGTGCTAGGAGAAATGGGTTCTTTGGTCGATATGTTAGGAATTTTATAGACGTTGGATTGGCAACTGAGCTGGTGCACTCGGGACAAGAGCATTACATTGCCGTTACGGCATTGGCCAACATGAGGGTTCTTGTTAGATTAATAGAGGGTAATAAGGACCATTAAAATATAGTGCGTTGAGTCTAAATTTCTTGATTTAATATTCTTGATTTAATACAACAGCTTAGAGATGAGATTGACATGTGATAATCCAATTCATGTCAGGGGTACAGTCAATTGGCTTCCCTGAACCCATCATACGCATTATCAGATAAGACAGGTCCGACGAACAAGAAGGTACCTGAAAATATACAATGAGGTAGGTACATATTCAGCCTTCCGTTTAGTATGACGCACGTAAGTCGCACACAAACTCCAGCCGCGACAGCCTTGCGTCTTAGCAGTTTTAGCGTGGAACCTCATCCCTGTCGAAATTTTATCGATCCCGGGGTAGATCTTCCTCGCACAAACCATCAAAGGGTCTATTCAAAACCTCGCAGGTACCATCTACCATCTCAAAACCCCTCCTAGAAAAAAAATAATATGGTGGTATGCGGATTCCTTGATATTTTAATATAGTTCCTTTGCTTACTCTCCGAAGGATATAACCGCCGAAGGCGACGACATGAGCAGTCTCCTCCGGCCGCCAACCATACGCTCGGCTTTTGGTGTCCTTGACAGATCACTCTTTTCTAAGACGGTCAACCTTGCTGCTGCTGCAGTCGCTGACAAGAAGAAAATCTCTGTCTGGCGTCAGAAATTACAGAGTGAGGATACTCTTCTCGCCTTTGAGAGGATACCCGGCGTTGTAGCCCACCCGGACCAGACCCTCGCAGCGCAGGGCACAAAATGCTTACTCTTAAACCCAAAAGTTAAAGCCGAAGGTAACGTTGAACCGAAAAGTGTACTGTGATTGATTGCATTCTTTTAATGACGCTACTCGCAGTGCCCGAAACATGGACATCCTCCCTTCAAGATGGTGTAGCTAGTAAGGAGATAGGAATAGTCCCGTATAACTTGTCGCTGGACTATGACTACTGGTCTTATGGTAATAGATATATGTTAAACCTTTTGGTATTTATGAACGCAATAATTAACTGGTTGTTCTAGAGGATGTGATGAAATCTCTGCTCCCCCCTGACCTACGGGACGAGCATGATGGTATTCCCGGAGGGTTCAACCAGGCAGGACATGTTGCGCATATGAATCTTAGGGAAGCATTCTTGCCGTACAAGAAACTAATCGCAGAGGTTATACTCGATAAGAACCCGGCGGTCAGAACGGTCATCAACAAAGTCGCCAACGTAGGAACTGAATCAGAATTCCGGACGTTTGCATACGAAGTCCTTGCTGGTCCGGACGACTTAAATGTCGAGGTGCGAGAGAACGACTGCCTATTCCGATTTGATTACTCCAAAGTGTATTGGAATAGTAAGCTGGAAGGTGAACACAGGCGGTTAGTCAATATCTTCCGACCGGGTGAGGTCGTATGCGATGTGATGGCCGGTATTGGCCCATTTGCAGTACCCGCCGGTAAGAAAGAGGTTTTTGTCTGGGCTAATGACTACAACCCTGAGAGCTATCGTTACATGGATGAAAACATCAAACGGAATAAGGTGAGTGTCGAATAAAAAAGTACACTATGTTTTTAACCGAATTAACAAACAACCCCCAGGTCGACCAATATGTGCGGCCATTCAATCAAGACGGACGGACGTTCATCAGAGAAGCAGCCGATCTGGTATATGCAGCATCAACTAAGGGCGAATACGTCGTCTCGGGTCCGAGTAGAAAATTGAGACGTAGTCAACATCCGAATTCAAACACTACTGACAAGTCAATGCCCAACCCGAAACCTAAACATACACCAATTCCGCCAACGATTTCTCATTTCGTCATGAACCTTCCTGCATCCGCTATTACTTTTCTATCACACTTCCGCGGTCTGTACGCCACAAGGGAGGAGCTCTTTGTTCCCCACACAAATACGAAGCTACCCATGGTCCACGTCTATTGCTTCGCGGCCAAAGCAGATGATGATACGCCACTCAAGGATATCTGCGAGCGCATCTCAGCGGAGCTAGGCGTCGAGATGAAGTTAGGCGAGGCCGAAAATGCCAAAGAGGTATCCGTTTTAGAAACCAGAAATGTGGCACCTAACAAGCGCATGTTCTGCGCATCCTTCAGAGTGCCCCCTGATGTGGCATTTGCCGCCCGAGTATAAACAAGATCAAACAAGACCCTCAACGCAGTAAATAAGCCTCCGTATCATCGGCTTACCATGTTAGGCGCTAGGAGGCTGCCGAGCAATATATATGCAAGCCAAGCGGGCCACTGCAGAAAAATACATGTAAAGATATCAACGTTAGCGTCGCAGTTCAGGGAGCTTTCCAGGTCTGTGATTATTTTATGGCGGGACTGGGCGCCACAAGTGGATCACGGCATACATAGGGCACAGCACAAGGGTGCTATGCTAATATATAATATGCTCCTTGTTGGCGCCTGGTAAGGAAGATCACGGTGCCGTGGAACGTGTCTCGAGCGCGGATCACTACACTAGGTCCGCCGTGGGATACTATGTATTATCCACACCTCGTGCGAAATACTCCATTGATGTGTTACGGCACGCATTGCTTCGGGAACCGCACCAACCAGCGGAGGCGTCAAGAATTAAGCCTATCTAAATCATACTCCCCATGTCGAAGAGGAGTGGTATCATCTCTGTCTAAGCTTACGGAATAGAGGTTGTATAAATGGAAGGGGAAGACAGGCCCCGGTGCGATAGCCGAACGTCGTTCATGCAGATAAGCATGCATGATTGCAACTCCGAGGTTGTGTCTGTGGATGGATTGAAGAGGCCTATTGGATAATAGTTCAGCATCTTTCTCGAAGCTGCGCAGCGCTAACTCATACCAGCCTGTTACTGGCAAGGGAATCAATGCGACTTGCAGCACCACAATATCAACCCTGATAGCTCCCCCTGATGCATATAAGATTTTACGTGATGGATTCTAATGAGCAGGGCTAATTATGTACGGCCTTCCATGGGGCACGCGGTCGCTTGGCCGTATGAATAGCTTCTTCTGTGTCTATGTGTCCAAGTTCGATACTCATAGTCAGCTGCTCATAGTCAAGTTTAATGCGAGGCCAGGGCTCCTTATGCTAGTGAGTCCAAACATAATCTACATATCCGATGACTCCATTCTCAATTTTCTGTTTCACCGGTGAAAAGCCGTCTATCGCGAAATACGCCACCCACAGAAGAAGACGCTAGTCCATTCAAGGAGATCATGTTCTAGACGAAAGCGGAAGACAGCAACTTAATGGCTCGAATATGCACGCAGGAAGTGGAGAAGGCATACGAAATCGGACTGCAACTCTGTGCACCTAGCCTTGTGTCGCATTTTATTTGGCACGGAAAGCCTAAGGCGACATGGTTGTGCGGACGCGATTTTTATGATCATGATCAGATTCTTGCTGCCGCCTTCATCTATCTAGGTATAAGATAAAGCACCGCCATAGGGAGCGCGCGGATGAGTTTCCGAAAATCTGAGCCTCGGGAGCGGCTCATATGTCATTTACATAATAGGTGCGGGATTCCAGATGCTAGGTAGTGATGATACGGTGACGGTATCCAGACGTTGCGAAGGAACCGGCAGTCCTTGTTCGGCTCGTTTTTCGGAACAACAGAAGAAGGTCTGGCGAAGACTCTTCTCCAGTGAGCTCAGAGTACGTCCTAACCGAAAATATACCTGTTATCTCAACAGACAACAGGGAGGAGGCGTGACAACACATACGCACACACACACTCCTTCATCCACATCGATCGGTATCATTGGTAAACAATTGGGCTACAAGGCTATCGCTTCAACAAATGTCATGACAGGGGATCCGTATATCTGACTTCGATGACTAATTCTATGATTTTTATTTATCATGACGGCGACCGTCGTAAGCTCGGAACGGCTCGAATTCGTGTGCCCACAGGGCCCAGGATTGTGTTTTTGATGGAGATCTCGGAGCCCCTGTATTACCAGCTAGCAACGCATCCGAGATCATGGCTGTTGTTGCAACGTTCCCTATCTAGGTAGCTCTACCTTGTAGACATCCAAACACCCTGACATCTTACTAGCATAGACGCCATAAAATAGCTAGAGCTTGTTGCATAGTAGCAAACTCAATCTAGCGGGTGACGATACAACCACGTGAATAAAGCTATACAAGGTAGCGCTATGCATAGCATCTACATAGGAGTAGGTATAAGCGAAGATGGAGCGGGTAGATTTAAGACATGTAGATACTTTTTTTTACTAGCTTGATCCTGCAAGAAGAAGTGGGATTGGTATATAAAAAAAGAGTATAAAAAAGCGAGGCTAGCTGTGGCTGGCAGTTGCTGACTGACTGACTGACTCGGTTTCACTTCCTTCGGAGACACAATAATATAAGACAACTGTTGTGCGCGTTGCAGATAAGAAGTTTCGAATTATAAAATGTATGTGTCAGGTCACCAATTCTCGAGATCGTCAGCGATCACCCGCAAAGACATGCTAGGTATTGTTTTTTTCTTTTTCTTCTTGTACCCGTTTCTGTTTTAACTGGTAATTGGCTATTGAGTAAAAGCTGCTGGATCGGGCTTATGCTTATGCGTATGCTTATGCGCGTATGTATGTACCTAGGAAAAGAAATCGTAGGTAGATTGGCTTTTTGGCTTTTTGTTGCATGTTTGCTATATTATTGCGATATAACGGCGTGAGGTCGACGTCATCGGCGCGGACTCGGTGTGCAAGGAATGATAGAATCGGTGTTGTATTTCCAGTTGCACCGCAGGACCTTCATCATGGGCCACGGGGCGCATGGGGGTTCCGTAGAGTAATCTCGAGTCTGGCAACAGCGCCAAGAGACCCGCGGGAATGGATTAGCTGGCACTTTTTTCTTACCTTGGGGTTACTTTTGCAAATGAAAGTCGTTCGCTGTCGGCTTTTAGTCAGCTTTTTCTGTAAACCCCCATTCCCCCATTCCCTCATCCCCCCCCCTTCTCGACTTCGGCTTCGGAGTCATCTGCGGGGAGCGCTTGGACGAACCATAGCGTATCGAAGACTCCGTCGCGTCGTACGAAGCCATCCTGGGGCGTCGGGGACGACATCTGGTCACTGCAGATGGTGGAACTTGACATATCTCGCGCAGAAGTCAACTCAGGGAAATTGCTGCAGCACAGCATAGCACGGCATAGCCACGGCACGACACGACACTGTGGTGTAGGTAGTAGAGTCGTGTGGTTATCATCAATATCATCTATCATCGAGAGATCACCAATCTATGACCTAATCTGGCGGATTACAGAGTTCCCGAGGCCAGCATTAGTTAGTTACCTACATGAGTTAGGTAGTCAGTTAGAAAACGTGGAGAAGTCAAGCAAAGACGTTGTTGACTATGTATGTACTGTATTACATATGCGACGGGTATTCATTGTTGAATCTATTCCGAATAACCACTAGATCATTGGCGAGTGACGTCGAGGCTCGATGCTATAACGTAAAAGGGGCTCGTCGGGGCCAATTCCCCGTCGTTGGGAAGAAGAAGATGATGACGATGGTGGAAAAACAGGGGTTCAGTACACTAAATACGTAGCAGCAGCCTCTTCAGCCCGTTCGAAGCCACGGATTTTCGCTCAAACGTGGAGGAGGAGCCGAGGAGGTACGTCACACGGAGCGCGGCGGGGGTGGAGATTGGGCCATCGTAATACAGACGTGGAGTAGGTATTTTATACAGTATGCACTATACCAGTATACGTACTGGTAGGACGAGAACGGCTATGTTGTGATATGATAGTACCAAGTACTACGTGAAAGACGAAAGGTAGGGAAACACAAGTGTATATGTTTCTATTCGGTTATAATTACTATATATATGATCGAACTTTCAAATACAACCTCCGAAGCAAGGGAGAACAAAAGAAAAACGAACCCCACGAAATGGATAAGACATTGGAATGGAGCCTTGGACGGGGAAAGGGGGAAATCTAGATTACTCCTCTTATGTAGATAGCGTGACGAGCGGTCGGTGATCGTCTCCAAGGCTAGTCTACATAAGTGATCAGCTGCTTGCGTGAGGTTAATCTGTACATGAGTCTGTAGTTCGTGTGGGTAGGTATGTTTTAGCCAAGAGATGCCACCGAAAGCCACAATCTACGAAGATGTTAACCTAGGTATGTCGTAAAAAAAAAGCCTTTTATTTCATGAGGCTTGATTATTATGTATAGGTACGTATGACAGCCATGTACCTAGCAATGGAGCATGGGATGAATAGATAATGATGATGATAATGATGATGATGATTACTATAAATATTATACTCGCCTATCAAGAAAACTAAAATGGAATTACGAATGCAGTATTACGCATTCTCACATACTTGGACGTATAAGCTTTCCAAGAAAACGCCATAACCTTTAAGCTTATGTACGAATCTCATTGTGATATAATATTCTTATCTTATGTATAAACAAAGTCAAGATCTCGATAGAACACAAACACTAAATACTTAACACATAAGACGGTTATCATGATGCTTCGGTGTTTACGCCGACCCCCCCTTTATCTTTTTTTCTGCGGTCGCCTCTCGAATCAACCCCTGCAACGTTGGAAGAAATAGGCTTTTCTAGCCCGTCTGCCCGTCCGGGGAAGAGAAACCTACACACCTATCAAGGAAACTAAAAAGCTGTCGATCTTGTTCTCGCCCCATGCAGCTTGGAAATCTAGCCCTCTGGACCTTCGGTAATAGTTCTTTGTTGTCAAGCTACGTAAAGTTGTTACTGTACTTTGTAGGTTTTGTAGAAAATCGCAAGTGTCGTAAATAATTATGTGATAAAATATATATGGAATAGATACAGACATACTTGGCGGCGATGGATCTTGCGTATGCGTCCGTTCGCGTCGGGTCGGTTAGCGAGCCACGAATTTCCGAAAGAACCTTTTTTTCCTTCTCTTCCTCATTAGTTCCTTAATCACCCGAAAAGAGGGATAGAGGCTGAAAAAAGAAGTCGGCGTTACTTCGTAACCTAGAAGTTAGAAAACGAACCGACTTACACGGTTTCTAGTCTAGCCTAGCCTGCGTTCCACCCAAAAATTTTTCTCCTGGCGAAGTGTAAAAGTAAGACACTAGATTTTTTTTTTCCACTCCCATGGCCCATGCAAGTTCTGAGACCCATAATTTCGCCGGTTTTGATTTGGTTGGTATTAATGTATTTTTCGAACTTCGGTGGTTCTTTTTTTTTTTTTAAACGGCGCGGCGGCTGTTCTTCGATGAGCCTAACGATGCGCTTTTATGAAACCAGGACAGGCGGAGGAGTCCATCTGACCGCCCATGGGAGGAGGCAAAGAGTCCTGGAACTACACTAAAAAAGCCCACTTCCTTACATACATACATGTCGCACTGCAATGCAAAAGAGGTATCAACTCGCGGCGCCGCTCGTACATAACATCCTTAAGGTAACATGTACGTACTACCTAGGTATGTAAGTAGGTACTAGTAGGCTTGCATGCGCCCAGTGGTACTGTATGTATGCAGCAAATATGTGGGCAAATGGGGCAAAATATATAGACATGTAGTAGGTATGCATATGTGTAGGTACAGGCGAGCAGCCGCGCTATCTATTGTAGTATACTCCATCCACTAACTCGAACGTATGCGACCGGGTCCAGTCCTGGGCTGTTCTGGGGTACTTCCGTTAGTCACGGCCGTTAATGCAGCGCTTTCCACCAAGGTTGCGTCCGTAGAAAGTTATCTTGTTCGCATTCCTGGCATCTCCACTTCTTCTATTCTAGTTCCGGCGCATTAGAACAACAGGTACCTACCTATCAGCATATAGGTACTTGGGCATTAGTGGGCATTAGGTAGTGGACCTGACAGACTGTGGACCTGAAAAGTCGATGTTATCAGCTCTCGTAGTTCATACGCAAGTGTGCTGCGCGCCAAAACACACCAGGGAAAACCCCCGGGCTCGCCCTGCATCTACATACACTACGCCATGCCCTCGCAACATACCCGGCAGCCCAGGTTTTACGGGCTTAGGTATGTACGCTCCGGCAAAGCTCAAACGAACTTGGCAGGGCTACGTAGACGCAATAGAGAGTTCCAATTTCGCAAAATAGTGATAAATTACGAATTACCTGCTCACGTATATGTAAGACGGTACCTAACCTTAAGCACCTTTAAAGGTCGCTTAAAGATACTAATGTATGCTTATACATAGAAGCTTGTAAGCTGCAGTGCTTGAAAGTATAATATGTACATTAAGAAGTACATAAGTAATGCAACCTGTGCTCATGTCCTTATTATGGAAAGTAGGCGTGCAACTAAATGCAAATAAGACGCACTAACTACGGGACTAACCTATGGTAAGTAGGACCAGGTACCTAGATTATTACGTTGCGGCGTACTTACAGCAGGAAGTAGCAGTAGCAATAGCAGGAGCAGCAGGTGTCTTATTAGGTACCTCTTATTATTTTACAGTAAAACAATCATCCCAACTCGCTCCACCAATCTTATCTTATTATCTGCAGCATAGAAAGAATAGAAAGACTTTCCCTTCTCCTTCTCCCTCCTCCTTCGTCCCCTCCATACACTCCAGACACTCCATACCGTCTCATACTACGGATGTAATTCTCTTCTTTAGTGTCTCCGTCCACCCACGTCGAGTCATCCATGCCATTCGCCATCAGCCTTGCTCCGTGACTGGCTGGCCCTGTCAAGTCTCAACCCCTCAATCCTCCTTCACATCCTTGCAAGCTTCCGATCTCCCGGAATTTCCACCCTTCCAGCCCTTCTTGTACTTGTACTTGTACTAGCCTAGGGCAACTTACTGTACGGTACCAAACATTTTGCCGCGGATTGTTTTCGATCCAATACCCTCTAATAAACCGTGGACCAAGGCAAGCCTCTCAAGCCTCTTAAGCCTCTTGGCCTCTTATCTATGCAAAATCATCCCTCCTTCTACGTACACCACGTTCGAATTTACGAATCCGATCCTCTTTGTGCGAGTGCGTTTTGTTTCTCGACGTCGCCGATTACATCCGCGTCACCTTTAGCCGACTACTTTCGAATTATCTTATGCAGCAATTGAATTCAAATATCGGCTTCACTCCGGCTGCGCACAACCATCCACTCCATCCACTCCAGATTTGTCACGTCATCCGGAAATACCCCAGCCAGACGAGAACGATTGTGAGCGATTCAAGACTTTTCGTCTTGTGAGCGAATATTGTCTTGAAGTGTTTCTAGTCGTCCTATCTTAAGACGACAATATCGTTCCCATGAAGGCAGCCACCAGATCCGTATTAGAGTTATAAACGTCGGAGGATTTGGGTTTCTTTATTCTTCGTCCAAAGGGACGAATCTTATTTCGACATGGCTGTGGTTCTTCCTTCAGACGATAACGACCTCTTTTCCTCGTCCTCTTTGAGGAGATCTCATTCTCAACCTAGATTCATGTCGGGTCCGTCGCAGAGCTTTCATACCTCGGCTTCGACCTCAAAAATAGGCGACGCGTTTCACGAATCCTACCACGAGGTCTACCACCACCATCCTCACATAGTACCCAATTCTAGCCCGTCTTCTGCTCCATCTTCTCCTCGCACCCTCCAACCCGAGTCTTCCGAACCATCGTATTCTTCCACGCCAGCCACTAACCTATCTCTCGACGGACAATGCGAAGAAGACATTCGCATCCAGCCCGATGACCACCTCTTTGTGTCCGGGCTCGGCCACAATCCGTATTTTGGTCCGCTTGAGGACTTGGAACCGCCTCCGAGTCCTCGAACAGGCGATTCATATACCGTATCTCCAACTGACCCTGATACGTCAGCGGCTACTTCACGCCCAGAATCACCGGATGCCTTAGAGCGTGCTGAAGATGATACGGCCGTTGAGCACCATCCCACTCACCATGTCGATTATCTATCGCACGACTGGAGGGAAGAAGATATTTGGTCGTCCTGGAGGTATATTGTCGCCAAGAGATCCGAGTACAGCAATGGGCCACGACTCGAGAACGCGTCCTGGAGGACTTGGATGAAAGCTAAGTATAAGTTAAAAACAGTAACGCCGGAGACTCTAAACTGGTATGTCTCTCTTTACACGCTCTGTTCAAATATCTGACCCGTTTTATAGGCTCAAGGACTGTGACGTGACTTGGCTCTATGGACCTCTACAGACTCGCCGTGGGGAATTATTTCCCACTGACACAGAACAAGAGAATTCTAGACTGTCGAGATGCGACTCGTTTGTTAACAAAAAGCCTATCCTTAAGAAGAGGAGTATGTCAGAGGTCATGCTCCAAAGATCGCTCTCTACCTCATCGCTCCTAAAACAAGCTACGGCCGCCGTTCAGGCTCAGCAAAAAGATGGTGCCGTCCGTGTTAGCCGACCCATATTACTCCGCGCCACCACAGATTATGTCACCTTTCCCTTCTCCTCCAGAAGGAGGAGCCGTGAGAATACGAGTATGGTGCCATCCACAGCTTCGTCTGGCATTATCTCGCCTTCCTCGGAACGGAAGCATATTCACTTTGACGAGCAGGTCCAGCAGTGCATCGCAGTTGATGTAAAGGGAGAGGACGAGGATGAGGACGAAGTAGATCACCACCGCCGCTGGGCATATAACGACGACAGCGATTCCGATGATGGCGCAATCATGATGAAGAGAACCAAGACGTCCAAGAAACCCATTCTTCCACGAAAGAGATCTCCGGTGAATACACCCGCCGAGAGTAAGACCATCGCGATGCTACCTTCGACGACTTTGAAGTATAGGGAAGATTCCCCCAATCCTGAAACTGCAATGAAGCACAGCACAGGCCATTTGAGGAGTCCAATCATATCACCGTCTTCTTCCCAAGAGACGTTAAGACCTTCTAAGGCATCAAGCCCATTTCTTGTAGGTGACGATGGCGAAGAATTAGACGAGGAGACCAGCTCAACCCCAGTATCTAGCCCAGTAGACGCAACGTCACCCTTTAAACAAAGCCCCCTACGTTCCTCGTCCACGAATAATCACCTCAATGAACCGACAGGCATGCGTCGGACGGAGAGTGGCATGTTCATGCCATTTGAGGAGGGCGATGTCCAGCCTAACGATGGAATAATTGGACGGGTAATAGATACGGTCAACACTGCTCGGGATATTGCACATGTCATCTGGAATGTCGGTTGGAGGAGGTGACAGGGCCACATCGTTTTATCGTCGAAGCATAGGATCTAATGGGCGGGGAGTAACCACGAATCGACGGGAATATCCTTATAAGGACGCTACTTGGTGCGGTTCTTGTTCTAGTATATCCTGGAACCGCATTTCGTGGCTGGTTTGATAGGACATGGGCCTGCCAACGCACCGTCGGGGGTTTACTACCTATAACTGCATAGTATCTGGCATCTGGCAGATCGACTAATGCGCTAATATTTTTCAAAAGCAAAATTACTTTTATATCAGAGAACTCGGGTCTTTGGAACTGGAGTGGGGAAGACAATTACACGGAACGGAATCACGGAAATACCACGGGAGGGGTTTCCTCCACCGGCGATTTAATGAGGCGTTCTATGTATTGATTTACCATGGGAACTATATCATCGGCGGGTTGAGGTGGAATGGACAAACTATAGAAGGAAAAAAAGCAATATTATCGAAGTGCGTTTCAAGGGCACCCCTTTTGAAGAACGGACAGCTACGAGGATCTTCTATTGACCCCTAGGTGTCGTAATGCTGGGAGAATAGAGGGCTGATTCGACTTACCATACACATGGTTGTAAAATACCTGTGGGTGGCTTTTGTCTATTTTCTCGACTGCTTCTCTCAGCAAGGACACATGGTGGGTTAATCGCTCGGCGTCTCGTGAATTTGGCCTTGGGAATGTACTTTTGGTTGTTACGGAGCCGGCAGGGGGCGGCTTACAGGTAGATTTGCCCAGAGCAATAAGAGATAGCTGGGCAGTAGGCAAGCCTGCCGGATTTCATGATCACGATAAAATACAAAGTCCCTAGGGATTTGGTCATAATCATGCTTGTCTGCTTTGAGTTATGTGATGATTGTGATAAACAAAGATCTAGACATGAATAGTCTATATAACTAGATATCACAGGGGTAGAGGCGAATGATGCTTCAAGTAATGGAGTCGCTTTTTCTATACGTATCTATACATCGTATTTTACATACCACGCGTGGCAATATCTTGTAGAAAGATGTATCCTTTCCCCTTTTCCCTTCAAGCCAGGCCCCTAAGTCTCCACAACCTCGGCCTTATCCCCCTCCGGCACAATGATCTCATCGCCCATCCTCTTTAGGACCTTAACCGCCTCGACGTAGACCCTATTCATATGCACGTTGATATTATGCAGCTTAACCTCGTACACGTCTCCGACGCGCACCTCCGCCATCCGGACGACGCCGTTTAGCGTCTCGGGGCGCAAGAGGGCGGTCCGGTCGAACCAATCCAGACGTCCTTGGGCTGACCGGCGGCCATTCACGTGCAGGACCGTAAATCGGAAGGTCTCGGGGATTTTGGCCTCGCCGAAGCGCCATGCGCGTACCAACGCCTGCAGGATCCACTGGTCGCCGCCGTCGCCGCGGATCAAGGCGCGCGCTTGCTTTTCGCGCACGCGGATCATGGGGAGCATGCGATCTAGCTGCTCGCGGCTGAAGGGCAGGAATGAGTTGTCGCTCTTGTTGCCGATTAGCGAAGTACCAGAGGTGTGCTCCTTCAAAAGGGCGGCTTCGATCTGCCAGTGTACGATCAAGTCTGAGAACCGACGGAGCGGGGATGTCGCCTTGGTGTACATATCGACGCCGAGCGTGAAGTACGGGCCGGCGGTCGTGGTGAGCTCGTCGTTGCCGGTGAGAGACCAGAGGTGGCGCCACTGGTTATCGTCGGGCCGGATGCCTGCTCTGAGCAGAGGGTAGAAGACGTCGCGGGTGTACTGCTGGACTCTGTCCATGTTCTGCGTGGCGTGGGGCTGCGTGCGGAACGGGATTGGAATGCCACGCTCGTGGCACCATTTAGCGGCGATCTCACCAGCCAGTCGCATAGCGTTTTCAACCAGATCAGTCGCGAAGCGTTTAGAGTACCCGACACGGATTGAAGGATCCCCTATCAAAGCCGTGAAGTTATCGATCTCGCGCTGTGGAAGGTGGTCAAAGTAGGCCATTGCTTCGGGGCGAGGGTGAAAGAAAGGAGTGGCCCCTTTCTCAAGTCTGTGGGCATGGACAGCTTTGCCTAATTCCGAAAGGAGCGCCAATTCATTCTTTTGATCCTCGCTTAAATGTTGAGGCCGAGTCATCCGTCTAGGAGGCGGCTTGGCCTTTGGAATAGAACCAAGAATTACCTCGTCTCCTTGTCCGGTAGTGGGATGCTCCTGGTGGCCTTCGATTACTGAAGCAACATCCCCGTCGGTCATATAAACGACATCCTCTAGAATTCCGGGTGTGATGTTACGATCCAAAACGTGCCCGTCTTTGTCTATCAACGCACTGAACGTCAAGCAAGGTCTGCCCGGGGCTAAAGAAAATATGTCCGGGCCAATATTTTGTGGTAGCATACGCTCGAAGTGACCAGGCAAGTATATCGTTTCGGGAATCAGCTCGGCATACTTAGCGACAGGCGTTTCGGCCTGGATCGAAGAAGCCGGATCCGCAACATGGATATGAATCCAAAATTGATCGGGATTGGAACTCTTCTCGATTGACACGGCATCGTCGATGTCCATGGTGGCCTCAGAGTCGATGCAATAAGCAGTGAGTTTCCAAGTTTTCCTCAAAGGAGCTAAGATGTCTCCTTTTATGTAGCGATCAAGATTGCCGAAGTGAGGTCGAATGTAGCCTCCTCCTCGTTTAATCTCAACACCTGGGAAACGTATGTTATATCGAGCGGGAATTTCCCAGGATGGTATCCAGCCAACTTCCTGTAAGAAAGTCCAACCCGTTGATGCCGAATATCCTCCGGCGTTTTCATACCTGTCGAGGGCTCGTAAGATAGTAGATCCATAGCATTGGAGCCGTGAATAACTTGGAAATTTCTGGTAGCTAGACCATAACTCCATAAATTGCAATATCTCTAGATCGGTCTCGGACCACTGGTGGCTGGCTGGCGCCGGAGCTTTTGCCGACGATGCTTCTACCTTTGACGGTCCAATGATACCGCTTTCTGTCCACGGTCGGATTTCTCGGCTCCGGTCGATCAGTTTGCGGGCGTTTTTGATGAAACTGTGCACCGGAGATGGACCGGCTTTTTTACCTTCGAGTAAACCTACATCTATTTCTACGAAATCTCGGACTAGCTTCTCTACCTTCTGGATGATTTGTACCTCGGACAGCGGACTGATTTCGAAAAGATACGATCTTCTGTGACCAGTCTGCCTGAGAGGTCTGAAGAAAACTTCATCTTGTAGGAGAGATCTGTGAACGGCGTACAGGGCTACGGGCTCGAACTTTCCGTCCTTTTGATAAGATTCAGGAAGCAGTAGCTCGGTGATTTCGTGCAGGGTCAGATATCGATGTTTTAATGGATCACCGATGAAAGCGCTAGACGCGTCGAGTGTACCGGCATTTCCCTGATACACGGCTTCCGCATCGTGGGCAAAATCCATCATCTTACGCAGAAGCTTAGCTCCTGCGGCTCTAGAAGGACCATGGCCAAGATCCTGAAGAGCATTTAGGGCTTCTAACGGTACGGCGCCAGTGGGTAATTCCTTGAGGACAGGTTCGAGCTCAGCCGGCGTGACAAATTTTTGAACGACGAAAAGGGACTTGACGCCTAGGCCAACGAACCATTTACCGCTGCTTGTGTAATAGTGATCATAGCCGTTGTAACGACCCAGGCAAATAGCCAACATAGGTCGTCTCGACCCTTCGGAACTGTAGAAGCCTAGTTAGTCTTGATATGAAGGGGGGCGAGAGAAAAAAGGTATCATACCTTAACTCAACCATGTCTCCGGGTCTCAGAATGGCATCATCGGAACGCAGGTCGCCAAGTTCGTCTCCATCGAATAACGGCGCAGCCACATCAAAGGTACCCATGGACACATTCTGCGGGCGAGTGAAACTGTTGGACAACTCGCCAGTATCTGCATAATCAGACAACATGGACTTTACTTCATCTTGGTTTTCTTCCTCCCATTTCCTTAAGCGTTCTCGGATGGGTATTTTGTTTTTCCCCTTTTCCGCTTGTTCTTCCAAGGCGCGCAACTGCGCAAGTGGATCATTACCACTTAGTTCAGGATGTTGTACGGTAGCTAGAGTCTACAGAAACATTTTAGAATTAGGACGGTTAAGAGGGATATGAAAGTCTGCTATCACATACTCTTCTCCATAGAGGTTGGTTAATTCTTGGCAGAAACTTCGCATCTGACTTTGAAGCTATGGGTGATGTGACCCTTTGAAAGGCACATCTCCAGCATACATAAGATTTACTCGACGTCCGTAGCATTGTATCCACGCGCTGTGAATGAAAGAAAGACTTTTTGTTAAAGATAATTTCTCGTTGTCCTGTTTGTTCTCATCGTGGCGAAAATTTGTTAAAAGTTTTAATAGTGAGTGAGTGGGTCGCATCACGTCTCTATCAGCTGTACTTACATCAAGAGCAGGTGGCAACGGTCCGTTACTACTCCGAGACTGCTCCATTGTCGTTTAAATACGGGCAAGTACACCACTGTATGTATGAATATAAACAACCTTAGCTAATGCCAACAATAATAGTGCACCTTAAATAAATAAATATATACTTTCTATAGTCATGTACCTCTAAACGTTAACTCATTATGTAGGTACATGATGAGCTAACGTTTAGTTACCTACACTCTCACAAGCAATACTCATGACTTGAAAACTCATGACTTGAAATAGTCATGTCAGTTCTGCTTTCGAATAGTTACGTTGGAAAAACCTTACAGCATATTATTCATGTCTTTCAAATATATCAATTGCATCTCGGCGGCAAATAATATATGAAAGAAGTCTTTCGAGCCCGCCTGTTCGCCAAGTGTAAACGATGTCATCTTCTCAAAGGCGATCGTAAGCCTTTGTGTGTGCCGCGAGTAGGTTCTTCTACTTGACCTCTCGTCTTCGCACCTGTTATATCCTCCCAACTCGTGGCTTGCTTCATCACACCCTTTTCCCTTTCCCCTTTAAAATACTTTACCGGATTTAGGAACATGGCTACCAAAAGCTTTGCAATTTTGATGTTGGCCAGCTGTGCCGTAGCACAGACGTCTGGCATGGAAAACATGCCGCATGCCTTGAGCATGTCGAGCACTGTTTCTCCCATGAGTGAGATGACTTCCATCTCACAGTCGGTTGGTTCCTCCACCGGCATATCCGGCTCGTATACGACAGCTGCGGTTAGCAGTTGGGTAACTTCTACACCAACAGAACCATCCACGTCTAGTCCTGTCACGGCCAATGAGACACGGACGACGACTGGGATGCCGATGGGTACCGGCGGGGTGACGCCAAACGCTACTGGCGGTGGGCAAATCCCTGTGTCAGGCGCCGGAGCTGTGAACGGCATTTCGGTAAGTCCGTCTTCTCATGTTCTTCGCTTGTAGCTGACATTTGATCCAGGTTGGTCTGTTCGCTGTCTCCATAGCACTTGCCGCCTCAGTGCTGTTGTAAAGCACTCTCCTCCGACTGCCAGTTGCCGGACTCTCACATTGCGATAAAGTTTGATTATAAACGAAGAGAATTTCGGACATAATGTAGAATACGTTCAGTAAAGCCACTTGGATCAACTCTCGGAATCAGTGATAGGATCCATCAATGCTCGACAACATTCCTAATCCGGGGAATCGTTACGATATTTCCTTGGTGTGGATATGAGTTCGGGGTTAAGTAGATCTGTACTAGGTATTAGCCTTTCTACTATAGAAAAGGGCAACATATATGCCAATCTTCACAAGACGGTGTACCAAACATATCGTGTCAGCGTGTTGAGGCTCTAAATGGAAATAATAGGATTGACATTCGATATGCCTGAAATAACGTGTTATTTTAAAAGCTTGAATAATGGGGACGTGGAGGATTAACGTGATCCCAACCTTGGATGGAAAGTCAGCGAAGATTATTTTACTGATTCTATGTATGTAAGTTCCAAGTCGGGACAACATGACTTGGCTGCTTGAATAGCCGACGCTGACAACACAGCCAACGACCCAATGTCTGTATTATCAGGTCGAATAACCAACAACAGCACCCAACCACGTGTACAACGCCAGCGGTCAATCCATTTTCCATGATTACTATGTAAAGTTCCCCAGTGCGTACAGTACTACGTTGTATGAGCCCAGGGTCCAAAATTGACGTCGGCCCTAACAATAGGCTATCTAATAGTAGACTCTAGACTCTAGGTTTCAGGCTACAAGAACCTGTTAATCTCATGTGTTAATCTGGCATTAATCTTGTTCGGGTCCACAGTCCAGCCAACACCCGCTCTATTAAGGGGTTATTCAAGGCTTAAGGCTCAAGCGTCACCAAAGATTTGGTAAAGCCTTACTATGTATGTAGAATCAATGGCCGCTGTCTGGCTGTGTAGAATAGGAGAAGGGAGCTAGAGTCTTTAAGTGCCTAGGAAGTCTAGGTTAGCCTGTGGATAATTACCACGTCCATGTCATACTATGTACATTGGTCACATATGTAGATGTAGATGTGCTGTCGGTCAGAATCCTGGGGAAGCTAGCTCGTTTTTTTAGTAGTGTCTATGCAGAGGGTCTGGCCGTTCAGCGTAGGGGAAGGGTGGGTGCCGGACAGGAAAGACGATCTGATCAACGATCAACAAGAGCAAATTTGCCGGGCATCTAAGATCACACGGCTGCACGGCTGTTAATATGCAAGCCATCCACTACTCAGCTTAACTAGCTTTTCTACTACCTACACAGCAGGAAGGAGGATAAACTAGTACCAATTGTTAATAACCCTTCGGATCGTAATGACGTGGGTTATCGAAATGGAATTGAAAGTAGCCAAGTAACTAAACTAGGGGAGAATACAAGCCAATCAAGCGGTGATGGGCTCCCGAACGAAAGAGAACAAAAAAAGGAGTGCCATCTCATATTATCTCATATTTGCCAATTCTCCATGTCTGTCTTGGTTGCTGATGCGCTTGAAGCCCTAATAATAAATGCATACGAGGGTACTTTTCCTATGTACATAGTATGTAAGCCGAGATAAGCCTAGTTCTGCAGGTACGCTGCAGATCTAGACCAGCTCTAGGACAGAATAGGTTTAGTCAGGGTCGATGCGTAATTTCGCTTCATGATCGGGTAATTTCCCAAGTCGACAAAGGAAAGACCGCAAGTCCCCACTGGAAAGAAAGGGTTGCCTTCCAAGAAGAGTCGATTTTAGAGTTTTACAGGCCAAGGCCATATTTGATTGGTCATAAACAAAAAGGCTCTATGGATATTCTCCCAATTGGGGTAAGCTTACACCCCATTCTAACCCCTCTAACCCCCTTTATTCACCTTTCTTTCGACGAATCTTCCTCGAACCCAGTCCAATGGTCACAGTTTTGTACAGCTCATCTTGGACCCAAGGACCCAAGATGGATGTTACTTTTTGACCAGAATTTCGGAGTTTGACCATTTGACCACTATTTGACCACTATGGACCTACTTTTATGCAGCGAGGGTCAAGACATTCTGGCTGGCTATTCGTCCGTGGAGGATTCCGCGACCTGCTAGGCTGCCAGGCTGCTAGGTACATGGGCTGGCAGGTGGTTTGTCTGTGCAAATCGAATACATAGAAACTGGGGCTGCTGGGCCACGCTCGAACAGGCGACCCTGGTAGGGATCCATCCATCACAGGAACCATTTGCAGAGATGCAGAGGACGAAGAGCAAGGGGATCCAGGATCAGCGGGGACCAACGCTGCCACCCCATTTGCCCCCCATTGCCAAAAACAACCATGAGGTAAAATTGGCGCTGGCTGGCTGGGCAGCGCTGGCACTCAATGGTGCCCTAATAAAAGTACAAGAGATCTGCCGTTCCCATGATACCCTCCCTTCCTCTTTTCTTTCCTCACGAAACGACCCTGTTGATGTCGATGCCGTGACGTGAAAGCATCTCTCCAGCTTTCGTCCTTGTTTTCTGCGTATCCAAACCACCGCTTCACTCTTTTAGCGGGCACTCGTTTTCACGATATCACGAAAATAAACAAACAGCCATACAATTTAAATTCGCGCAACCGTCAAGGTCAATTGGAGTTTAGTTCTAAGGAATTTCAACAAGTAATAATGAAGGCAACTATCGCGGTCGCCGCTGCTGCGGCCCTGACCGGTGTCAACGCCGTCAGCGTTCACCACCGACACGCTCGCGCCCACGATGCGTTCCGCGCCCTCGAGAAGAAGGCTGACAACGCCACCTGCGGATGTACTACCATCTACAGCACCTACTATGGTGAAGCCACTCGTATGTTATACAAATCTTTTCGCGACTATCATAATAAGTTCCTAATCATAGATATTAGTCTCGTTCCCTCCGGTCCCCCCCACGACTTCTGCTACGGCTACGGCTGTGGCTACTCCCTCTTCCTCCTCCGTCCCTCCGCCGCCGCCAGCTACGACTAGCTCGACCGCCGTGCTCGTCCCGACGCCAATTCCCCAGACTGTCTCGACCACGGGTGTCTACACCTTCCCTGCTACCACCGTAACTCTGACCGACTCGACTACGGTCGTTGTTCCCTCCACGACCGCTGTCCCCAGTGGTACTCACACCCTCGGTGGTGTTACCACCATCGTCACGACCGAGACTACGGTTACCTGCCCGTACGCTACTGTTTCCACCAGCGAAGGCGTCACTACCAGCGTCATTGAGACCACGACTTACGTCTGCCCGTCTGCTGGTACTTACACCATTGCTCCCATCACGACTACGGTCGACAAGTCCACCATTGTGACCGTCCCCTCCGTCACCAACTTCCCCCCTGGAACCTACACTCAGCCTGAGGTTGTCACCACTGTCACTGAGACCAACACCGTTATCTACTGCCCGTTCGACACTCCTACTCCTAGCGTCTCGACCACTCCCATCCAGGTCCCGACCTCGGTCCCCGTTGCCGTTCCCACCTCAGTTGTCGTTCCCACCACCTCTATTGTTCCCGAGCTTCCCATCACCTCTATTATTCCCACCATTTCTATCCCCCAGGTTTCCAGCATCTCTGTTCCTGAGGTTTCCACCTCCGTGCCCGAGGTTCCCAAGTCCAGCTCGTACCCTGCTTCTACTCCCTCTTCTTCCACTTCTACGCCTAAGCCCAGCGGTACTCTCGGTGGACCGGCAGGCCAGCCATGGGGTATCTCGTACACTCCTTACGAGACTAGCCAGCAGGGTGGATGCAAGAGCGCCAGCCAGGTCGAGGAGGACATTGCTGCTATTGCCGCTGCCGGTATCGAGGCCGTCCGTGTCTACTCCACTGACTGCGACACCCTCCCCAACGTTGGTGGCGCTTGCGAGAAGCACGGCCTGAAGATGATCCTCGGTATCTTCATCGACTCCCCTGGCTGTGATGCCCAGAACCCCACCGTTTCTGAGCAGATCAGCGCCATCAAGGACTGGGCCAAGTGGGAACTTGTTGACCTTATCTCTGTCGGTAACGAGGCTGTCTTCCACGGTTACTGCGAACCTGCTGAGCTTGCTTCCCTCATCACCAAGTGCAAGGGCGAGTTCACCGGTTACACCGGCCAGTACACTACCGCCGAGACTGTTAACATCTGGCAACAGAGTGACTTCTCTTCTGCTATCTGCGGTGTCGTCGATGTTGCTGGTGCCAATGCGCACGCTTTCTTCAACACCCAGACCGTTGCCTCTCAGGCTGGTGAGTTCGTCAAGGGCCAGCTCGACATCGTCAGCAACATCTGCGATAACGTCTCTGGTATCATTCTTGAGACTGGTTGGCCCTCGGCCGGTGTGACTATGGGTCTTGCCGTTCCCGGTGTAGCCGAGCAAGCCGTGGCCATCAAGAGCATTGTCAAGGAGTGCGGTGACAAGGCTGTCATGTTCAGCTACTCCTCCGACGCCTGGAAAGACCCCAACACTGCCTGCCAGTGCGAGCCTCACTTCGGTGTCGCCGCTGCTCTTGGCATTAGCATCAGCATATAAGTTGCCTTTTAAACTCGCGCACTAACGGCGTTATATTGTACATTGTTACGTCTTTATCCAAACGGGTTGCAACATAGACGCTTTTGGCTACGGAGAAGTATATGACTAGGCTACCGTCAGGGCGGTTCGGTTGTTGTATATCCGGAGGATGCGTATCCGTAGTTCCCTTTGTAATAAGAGCGATGTCTAGGGTTGGACTGGCGGCGCAAGGAAAGCGATAGATGTATTTCTTGAGAGTAGCTCAATCCTAGGTGTCAATACCTCGGCCCGTTCCGAATGTAGGGTCTGATTCATAATGTTGTAATCTACTAGTAACTATCTATTATTGGATAACACTGTTTGTCTTTATTATTTACGGCGTCTTTTGTGGTATGCTTTTTGAAGGTGGATGGATTTTTGAAATATTAGAGTGACTACCTAAATTTTGTGAAGCTTCGTTCTATTATATCTCATTGTATTTAGTGTTGAATTATGGAGTCTTCAGTGTTCCCCTTTTTGATTAACTAGAACTTCCTAGGAAGTTGGTGGGGTTAACCATCAAGTAGGTATGTTTGTCGGTTGGAACAATTACTACTTAGTAACCTAGTTGTTTAACTTTTACCTTGCTAACCCAGATATTTCTAATAGTATTTCCTTTTGTAACAGGCTGCTGTTACGATGTCACATGTTTGTTCCGGATCCCGGTTTCCGCCATGTCGATCTACTCGTATCCTCATCCTCCTACAGGGACCTATTCCTGTTTTATGGCCCAAGTTGAGAGCATGGTCACCCGCTAGTCGCAAGCAACATTATTATGCTAGATATCCGTTGTCTAGTCTTGTTTCATAGTTTCGGCGTAACTATGTAAGAATGTCAGCAGGTTTTTGTAGTTAACAGGTAAAGGCATTTGTCTTTCCTGGAAGGAGTGCTAAAGATTTATACCTATTGGTTGGTTCAAAGAGGTTTGATTAGAATATGCCAGTTACTGTATTTCATTAAGCTTACATAGTATAACTATTATCCATCGATGGTAGTTACTACTGTACACGAGGAGGACAATTTAGTATTTAAAAATAATATCTTAGTTTAGAATTTATGTGTTATTACTTTTAACGGATCCTCGTTCTCGACTCCTAAAGAAACCCACAGGTTGCGAGTGTCACTATTGATCTCATAGCTCCCGGCTTATAGACACGCTTATAGTCCACATATTCCTAGTCGTAACGAGGTATAACCTAATACTGTTGAGTTTGGGGTACTCGGGATAAACAGAACACGTCTTGGTGATAAAAGCACCCTTCTTCCTTAACTGTATTGCTTCCCCTTTAATTAAGGATAGCTTCCAGCGAGTCGCTAGAAACAAGGGTTCGCAGTGATAGATCTTGAAGTCTTGTAGCTAAGTCGTGTAAGATTAGAATAACTACCTTGATATTAATGTGCAACACAGCGATGCTTTTCGCAACAACAGACAATTCCTCAAGCAGCAACCTGAACCATCTTACACTTTTGACACGTATAGTTCACCAAAATCTTGACACAAAGTATTACATACCACACACATTGGGAAGTCGGAATAAGTGTCATAATTACAGCCCACTCTCAAAGTAGGTACTATTCCTATCCCTATCCTTATCCCTATCCATTCGTTCTTATCCAGTCATACCCTTCCGCCTGTGTACAAACCAACTATATAGTACACCTGATATCGACGCGCAACGCTTGCTTCGCATCGCAAACTGCCAAGTACATTGGAAAAACCCCATCCGATAACACACTTTCCGACCAACGCCGCCACGAGTGCTAGAGCCCATATATAGAAATGGCCCAGTACAAAATCCTGGCCTATGCATTCGTTAAATAACCTTATCCCTCATTCCATCTATCTACTGTGCTCAAGCCGCGGGGTCGGACTCGGGGATCTCGAGCGTTTCTTCCGGGTTGGCTTCAACTGGTAACTCAACGTCCTTAACCGGGTGAAGTAGCATAGGCGGTAGGCACATTCTACCCTCTCCACCCCGCATTTCATTGACGTTGGTGCCATTCTTGCTCTCGTCTGCGGTCAACTCGAACTGCTCGCCTCCATCGTTGTTGACCTTCAATCCGAGCCATCTTCGGTACAAATTGGGTGCGAAACCTGAGTTGTAGAACCAGGTGAGACCTATAAGGTTATGCTCACGTTGGCCGAATACGGAAGTACGGGCGCCTCCTGTAGCTCCATTTTTGCCGTTGTTAAGCGTCCTCTCAAAGACCTCTGTAGGCCACTCGCGGTCCACGTAAAGAGGGTGTGGTACAAATACGGCCTTGTAACCATGCTGCAGAGCAACAGTACCCGGCCACATCTCTGGGAAAGCGTGATGTTTCAAGAAGGCAGTCTCTCGGTGCATTTTCATGAGTAGACGGCGAGACATGCGTGATGCTGTGATGATCTGAGCCCTACGAGGCGGCATTCCATTGCTACCCGTTGTGTTATAGCCGGTAATGTCGTCAGCGAGGCCCCAAGTAGTTCCTTCTGGATCGAACATAGGGTTGAACGTAATATAATCAGCCTCTTCGCCAACTCCCCATACATATTTATCCTTTTCATAGGTTGTCTCGGGTACGGGATCATCGTCCGGTTCAAACCAATCTTTAGGGTCTTTGGGTCTTTCAGGGCCCCAAATAGGCTTTTCGCCACGACCGGACTGCGATTTCTTGTTGGCTCCGGGAACGTTGTCCCATATATTATCGGCACCAGTAGTGCCCATCTCAGTCTGCACTCGCGCCATCTGCTTGAAATCCTCCCACGTTCCATGGACGGAAGGCAGGTAAAATCGAGAATTTCGTTCCCAAAGGCCCTTACGTGGCTGTTCCTTGGCCCAACTCTCTATCTTGGTGAACAAGTCATAGTAATGGCCAATGTATCGAATGTCCATCTCCCACTGCCAGTAATAGTCATATTCTGGGTGTAAATATGCAAAATGTTGCATAGCCATTTGCAAGCCACGGTAGACACCGTGAACAGGCAAATCCGGACCACGAGCGAAAAGATCGAAAATTCCCTGGTAAAGCGATAACATTTGGGTTTCTGTCCAGAATGTAACAATACCTCGGAATTCCTCTGGTATAGTCTCTTCAATTCGTCGTTGATATACGGCTGCATCTGCCCAAATTGGGTGTGCAGCATCATTCTTAACTTGAACGAGCAGGTGAATATCGTATCGACCGCCAGATGCTAGCACTAATTCGGTGATTAGGGAGCGAATGTTCATTACATCCTCTTCTCTCCAGAAGTATTCATCCCAGCACCGGATGACGACCGCGGTCCTTGGTAACTGTTTCCCTGTAGTCACACCTTCGGCGGCTGGCACCGGTTTCTTTTCCTTAACAGTCTTGTCTGTCTTGTCGGTTGATATCTTCGGTGATTCGGGAGCTGGAGAGTCACGCGCCTGGAGCTTGATGGCAGCAATGTCCTCATTGATATAGAAACCATGAGGAGATGGTTGTCTCGCGGGCACTTTCTTGTAGCGATCAGCATTTGTCTGATAGCACCGTCTCTGAACATCCGCCCAGTCCGTCCCTCTCCAGTCGACTTGGGGCACCTTGTCCCAAGTAGCCTCAAAGCCTTCCTTTTCGCCGTGTTCCCCAGTACCGAGACCACCAGACCGAACGGAATAACCGAAGCCATATGGCCCATAGCGGCCATAGCGTTCGAAACAGATATCCTCGGGAAGCCCTAGGAGCTCATAGGAACCGAGCACGGGGTCAGGGAAACCATGAGGGCGCCCGTCGTAGTAGCGAATAGGAGGCACGCGTACTTTGTTTGCCTTGTCAATGTAGCATTCCTGAAATTGCTCAGGGGCACCCTGGAAAACACTCTGGGGATACCGGATGTATTCTTTACTGGCAGGTAAGTTCCGCTCTTCGACGTCAGATTTTGAGTTGGTGCTATTGACATAGAACAACTTGTCTATAGGCGGCTCCCCTTTGGATCGGGGATACTCGGGCGTGTTCTGGGAAAAGGGTACTAGGTTCCTAATACCACCGTAATATCTTGTAAGGAATGGGAATTGCTCCCACGCAGGAGGTGCGGATGGCGGCCTGTCAATCCTGCCTTCGGCAAGGGCTCTATTCTCATTGTGACTTGCTCGGATGAGCGAGAATATCATGGTGACAATGAAGAATGTTAGGCCAAAGCAGAGATACCGAACAACCTTGTTTGGCAAACGGTAGTTAAGTGGTTGGCGCGGTTTACGAGGAACCGGGAAGGATCTTTTGGGCATAATAGGGGTTGCCGTAGAAGTTGAAGCACTGGTGAATCTTGAGTTGTTTGTACCGGGAGATGAGGTGGTAGAATAGTCGTCATAATCGGAATCGTCATAAGAATCGTTTGAATTTCGTTCCTTACTTGTTAGGTGTACATTTTCGTAAACAGGTAATTGGGATTGCCGACCCTCGCGGGAACGCAGCGGGTTCGAAAGAATTCCCATCTTAGATGGGGAGCAAGATTCTATTCGACTATATCAGTATTACGATGTTTTCAATAAACTGTCTGTTTAAGAGAGGCTACGAACTTGTACACCAAACTTGACTTGACTGCTTGGTCCGTCTCCCTGCGCCCGGCTTGGGTAACGATGTGATGCTAGGTAGCGACAGACTCGCGAGTCGCGACAGATACCCACAAATATGATTGATATTCGCGTGTATTGGATTTACCCTTTTTGCAGAAGTTGATTTCGAGTTTGCAAATAAACACGAGGAAATATACAATAATTCCAAGTCGAGGGGTTATCGTAATCGATAGGTAAGTTGTTGATGATTTGTTTTGAGATTCCCACTTTCTCCTTTTCAGTCCAATGGCCACTGGCTCCCCTATCCCTGTTATTACCCCTGTCATGTTGACGACCTGGCAACCGTAGGAAGGTACGGTACCTAGGTACTTCAAACGAGGCATCTACGTAATTGCCGATGCAGAACCAATTAGAGCAGTTTGTCTTTCCTGAATAGACGCCCAATAACGAGTCGGATAAGTGAGGTTAGATAAGCATTCTCTGGACTATTACATACCGCATACATACTGCATACGTACTGCATAATGTTGGAAACCCTGCATGTTACTGACTTGTCGAATGCATTTCATTACAAGTCGGCGGTTGGGCATCCTAGACATCGTATTTCAACGCTAGCGAACTTCATCTTAACATGTTGTCTCCTGCGTGTGACGCTATTGTGTACAAAGAGAAGATTCAAGAGAGTCTCTATCAACTTGGAGATTTCCAACCCTCAATAATACAAATCGTCCACATGATCATGAACGCCACAGACTTAACAAAATTGTTAAGACAAAGCAGCTTCTTTTTAACCACATAGAGTTCATCGCATGAGCTGAGTTACAACCGCTCACATTTATATCATACATGTCTTAGACATTTATCCCAGGAGCGTATCGGACGTTCGTAAGCTCGACAACTTGCAGCTTTTTGCAACCTCGAGGCGCCGATGGGATCTCTCCGTCGTCCGTACTCATCGTTACTGGGCGATGTTATGTCGGGGTGCAGCCCGGAACGCCTCGATGCAGCCGTTTGTAGCAAAGTTGCAACGTCGTCTCCGAGTCCGGGCTACCATCTGCAGCCATATTGAGGAAGAATACTACTTTAGATAATATATACTTGTGCATATCTGCAGGTCCGGTCACAAAGACACATCAAACTAAACCTTACAATTGTGTGAAGTCACACAACTTTTCGCCTTATATTTAGGTACTTTTACTATGTTTAACTCGGGGGCTTCGACTGAATTGATTCAAAGTTCCAATTGTTTCGGGGTAAAGAGATCTAATACATCACCCTTTCGTCAAGCCCCAGCTATAATTATGTCAAGTTTTGATCTTCAATCCACTCAACTGTGGATCTATTAGATCAATTGCTATACATAAATGTGTAGCTTGGGCAGTTGCTCTTACACGGTACTTTCCCCAGGTTATGTCAAGGTTCCATACATTTCCAACATAACCGATTCCGCTGGCAGCTGCGACTAGCCTGGACATGTATAACATGTACAACCCGTACAACTCATATACCTATGTGCTTGCTCTTGGCTTTATTTCCTATCACTTGACCAACGGCAGGAACCAACTGGCCAACCTATATAGATCTCCAATGCCTGCCTTTTTCCTTAAAGGTTCCAAAACCCTCCACAGGTCTCGTTTCTCTCATCGTCTCATCGTAATATTTTCTTATATAGGCAAGACTCCAAGTGGCTTTTAGGCTCTCAGTTCGCTCTTCGAATATAAATTCCTTCAGCTCTGGCTCGCACAAGTCTTCTCCTCTACGATAGACAGGCCTCATCTTACTTATACAGTTTAATCCATATCCATATTCTGCTCTGACATCATGTCCAGCACACTCACAAGGACTGACACGACGAGACCTCCCTCTCCCGTCGATATATGCCCTACCCGCAATGGCGACCCTCTAGCCATTAACGTGACTATTAGGCAAGACCCTCTGTCTGTGACATTGGATGGGCCCGCTATCTTCTTCATTGCCATCTTGCTGATTCTCAGCACTCAATTGCTCCAGCCTTCGACCGTGGCCTTTCTCATCAGTGTGTTGACCGTCGTTGTATTCGTCCACAATGATTACCAGAACTATTTAAAGCTCGGCCCCGGAGGTACGCCAGCGACATTTGCCGGTTACATTCGCATCAACTGGTTTAAACTCTGGGCCTGCCGAGACCCCTTCACCCCTCTCCCAGCAGACCCAGACGTGCAGCCAACCGCTGGAATCCTCCGCGGGAAACCGCTTCCCTACCGCTGCGGGCTGCGACCTAAAGTCGTCGGAATCGCACCGCAACGGCAGGTCAACCAGTTTGGTTCTCGGGACTGCTACCTTACTCTACGGCATATCTTGGAATCTCATAGCCGTAATAACCCGGAGGAAGTGGGCATCGGCACATCTTGCTTTGAAAAGCACGGCTTGGCCCTATTCTCTCGATATCCTTTCAACAAGACATGCCAGGGTGAAATCTGTCACGTGCATAACTCGGACTACTCGATGCACCTAAACCTGCACCCGGACGACGTAAAGGAGGTTATCGAGAAAGGCTGGGGTCAGCGACATCCCTTGACGAGCCAATGTTTCCTGAAGATGCCCGTCCCTAAACAATTCACCATGGTATACGCTCCGCGATCGATGGATGAGCTGAAAGTTGTGTGCCAGATCATCGAAGCCGCAGGCTGGTGGGTTAGTGCAAAGGAGACGAAACTGAACGTGATGGGAGAGAATTGAATTATTACATGGGCGTTTGCAAACTGGATAGCTGGGCTGAAGGTCTTACGACGCATAAAGTATACGGATAGCTCCTGGGTAGGACTCGTTTGCCTAGATTGTCCTATGAGGCGGAAATGACCCGGTAAACCAGAGATTGGCCTCACAATAAGGTGTTGCCTTAAAATAGACTCGAGGATAACAATACAAAATAATTTTAGTTCATTAATTATCGGTTATCAGTTAGAAGGTGACATTCATGGGGAACGTATGGCAGATTCTTAAGAGAAGTTCACTTGTTTGTGTATCTAAGGTATGTAGACACAGGTCTTAAGTAAGTCGTTGTATCGGCTTAAGTCAGCAAGACCCCCTGATATCCCTACTTTCGGTATATAGGCCATAACTGAACTACAGCAACCTGTATATAAGGAATAGCATTTGCTTAACTGTTATGATTTTCTCCGCTGTTCTTGCAAACTATCCCCAGAGGAACACGTTTTGATAACTTAGGTAGGTACCTTTTCAAGTAAACCGCGTAAATCACAAGCGTTGCTAGTCGCTAATACCGGGCCCTGAATAATCGTACATCGTAACTCTTCCCGCGGGGTGCAGCACTCCTCGGCGTATATAGTACACAACAAGGGAGTGCGGCCTCATAATATTAAGTACCTAAAGCATAGTAAGTAGCAATAGCGATAAACCCATCCATCCATCCGCCCATCAGCTATCGCTGTCATCGGCATCCGCGTCATCGCCTTGCTTCTTGCCCGACTTGCGATAGCGCTCGCGCCCCGTCGCGATCGTAGCGCGGACCGTGCGGCCGTCGAACGCTCGGCCGTCCATGAGGTTGACGCAAGCCTCGGCGGCTTCGGGCGTTGCGAATTTCACGCTTGCGATGCCTTCTTCCTCGAGGTCGTACAGCACTACGTTGGTCACGGGCCCGAGCTTGGAGCACTCCTCGCGGATGTCCTCTTTGATTTCTAGCATCGCGGCCGGGTCCTCTTCTAGCTCGCGCAACGTGAACATGTGTCGTAGGATCACTACGCGGTCGCGCCGCGCGCCGGTCTCTAGTTGGCCCCCGTACGGGTCGTCGTCGTCCCAGTCGGCGAGCTTCGCGTCGAGTTTCTGCGTCCGCCGGATGATCTTCTGCTTGTCCTGCTCGCGCGCGCGGTCGGGCGCCTTGCCCGCGCCCAGGATAAGCTTGCTGCGCTCGCTGGTACCTTCGTCGGCGCCGTTCCCGTTGCTCTCTTCCTTGGTGCCTTCGTAGTTCATCTTCTTGTAGCTCGAGTCGGCGGCCTGGACGCGCATGCGCCCGCTCGCAAGCCCCGACGAGGTAAACCGGAAATCGGTGTCGTCGAGCAGCATGATGGCCATGTCGACGCTCTGGGGCTTGAAGAAGACGATTAGAGCGTCGCCCTTGAAGTTGCCCTTCTCGTCTGTATATAACTTGATTCGCGGGCGACCACTATCGATCTCTTCGGCGATGACGCCGCATTTGCGCGAGAACACGTCGTGCACCTCGTCTACGGTCACATCGAGGGGTAGGCCGGTGACATATATAGCCGTGTTCTGGCGCGGCTGCGGTGGCTGCTTTTGCCTCTTCTTGGGACGTTGCTGCTGACCCCGAGGCGCGTCTCCACGACCGTTCGGCTGGTCTGTCTTACGCTTTTTGTTGGGAATACTAGAGCTATTACTACCGTTGTCCGGTTCATTGTCAGGGCTCGCGCTGCCGCCGTAAGCTAACTGCTGCTGGGCGAGCAGATCCTCATCAACCACGGGTATCCACCGCTTTAACTGGGAATCCCACTCAAACTCGCTCCCGTCTTCCTGCACCGCGATGTACTTGTTATCAAGCTTGGAGAAGGAGATTCGGTCGTCCTGTTCGAACTCCTGGGGATTTGTTGGAAAGGAGAGACCCGGGCCAGGTAGCGGGTCTGCCATCGTCTCGTATTTTTATGAAAGAATTCTAGTAAATAGCATGAGTTGCTTAAGTAGGCGAGGTAAAGAGTGTAGTTTGTTTAGATAGTGTTGATTGCAGTTGAGTGGTTGAGTGGGTGTTTGAATCGATAACTTAAGCTTCAATTCGCAAGCTTTATGCGCTACGCTACTGGCGCACAGGTATTCCGTATGTATCTACGAGGTACCTCTGTACATACGTCAGTGGAACACAGTATTAAATTTACTTCTTCCATGCCTAAGCCGGGACAGCCCCTGCATTACCTTATCAGGTTTAGACTAATCGTACCGGAATTGAGCCCTACATAATCCGTATTACTTCGTAGAACCTCAAGATTGAGACGACGTGAGAATTGCCAGTCATTCATAACACTTTATTCATAAATGATATTATAAAATATAGTTATATCTAGAAACTATCGCTCTTTTAACATCTGATGTAGCTATATTTCTTCCAAAAACCCACCAGTTTGGCTCCGACATCTCCAAAGAAGATTCTTAATATAAGCTAGCCTCAAACCCGAGGTTGAGAGTTTTGGAAGTGTCGTATAAGATAACATGACGCACCGATGACTATAATGTACCTCCATATTGTACAGCATGTATGATATAGCTGGTTATGTTCATCGCATAACACATATAAAATATATTCATGGAGTATGGCTTATTATCTCTTACCGAGTACGTACGTTACTGAGCTGTCCCCGAAAGTTGTTAACAAACAACACTACTCGGTCTAGCTAGCCTATAACGTAAGGTCTATGAGCACCTTACTTCAGATTGTATATTATCCACATGGGAATATAAGAATTTTTACCTTCATAGGCTTATAGTTAATTCCTAGACGAGGAAGTTTCTGTTAGTAAAGCGCTATAGGACGTATTACTCAAACACCTGTAGTTATATGACAACTAACATAAGGTATACAGCACAACCACTAAGAAATCAACGTGACGTTCCAGTTCTCAAAATCATGTTATAATTCTTTTTCGTACCAACTCACATGCCACGCAACCCGCGTAGTCTACCTGCGTAAATACAACGTGCTGTCGCACATTAGCCCTTGTACCTCTACACCTGAACGCCGGATGCAATGCAAATATGCCACCGACTAATAGCTACGGTGCAAGATGGCCTAACAAGAGACTCCCCGCCCTCCTTAAAACCTCGGGATACTAGGTAAGCCTTCATTTCTTGCCCTTCTTCTTCTTGCTTGCGCTGGGTGAACCCGAGTCGACCAGTACTGCGTCATCGTCACTACCTTTAACGGAACCTTTGGTCGACGATTCCTCGTCCAGCTCCTTCATGAACTCCTTCTGGATGGTCTCGCGGCGCTTCTCCCACCACTTCTTGTCGGTTTCTGCGCGACTCTCGATCTCATCGAGTCGCTTGCGGAGCATGGTATTTGCGGCAATCTCGTTTGCGGATTGGAAGATCGTCTGGCCCCAGCCGGGAGAGAGAGCATTCGCCTGGCCGAGTTAGTATAAATGCGCTTCGGGAAGGTATATACGGCGATCTGTCCTTACCTCTGTTACTACGTCGCGGAGTTCCTCTTCGATTTCCCTTTCGGCTCTCAAGAATCTTTGATTCAGATCGTCGCCGACGCTACCCCTCTGCAGCAAGCTGTTAAGAGCCTGCTTCGAGGTTCGGAGCTGGATGATGCGACGGATATCCTCGACGGCTCTTCGTAATAGTGCAGCCCGGATAACACTATCGGGGACCTTCGGCGCCTTCTCTTGCCCGGGTTCGGGCTCCATATGAAGTAGAGTTAAGTAGATATTTCGTTGCAGGTGCGGCGGGAACCATGGTTCGAGGTTGGCACTTTCAACTAGGGACTTATTAGTTTCGGTTCGGCCGTCTTGAGGTTGATGCAGGGAATCATACAAGCCTTTCGTTTTCGATAAACCGTTGAAAAGGTGTACAAGGAACCTCCTAGAACAGTAATATATGCGAACGGGAGCGCAAGGCTCATCCAATCTATATCGAACATCTTGTGTGTATTCAGTCGTGTTGTATAGACTGGAGATGTGGAAAAGGGAAGTGAAAGACACCGTTGACAAAAAATCGAAATGTAGCCAAAGTAGGCAATTAGGTATGTGCCCTTTTTGGTAGTCGGGATCTTGACACTTTTCACGTAGCTCGAGTCCGTACCACGTCTGATACCTGCATGTACCTTTGTATCCGCGCTAATCAATCTGGGCACTATCGCACAAGCCACAGTTACTAAATTTGGCGCCAACATATTGACCGCCTTGCCTAGTTAAATTTTTAGCTTATCTCTACGGGCTAGCTACCATTAATTTTTCTTCTGGAGCTGATACGGCAGAATTTCTTCCATCTTTAAACTTATCACGACAGGCGCGCGTTCGGCAAACACTTGCGCAGCCTCGACCAACCCAAAACTATACGAACAATGTCGGCTCCAAAACCAGAGTTTATCAAGTGCACAGGTCATAAATCATTCACTCAGCGCCTAGTACTTGCGACATTAACAGGCCGACCTCTACATATATCAAAGATCCGGTCGAATTCCCCCACCAATCCTGGTCTCGCCCCGCATGAGATCTCGTTCCTTCGTCTGCTCGAAGCTGTCACCAATGGAAGCTCTATGCAGATTTCCTACACCGGTACGACGATAACGTATCAGCCTGGTTTGATCACGGGTGCCATACCGGGCTTCGGCGCCACAGACGACGTCCTCGAACATCACCTACCAGCGAATTGCTCACGAGGCGTCACATACTTCCTCCTACCACTATGCCTTCTCGCGCCTTTTTCTAAGTCCCATATGAATGTCCGCTTCTCGGGGCCGGGCGTCATCACATCAGCTACCGAGACGGGCGACCTTTCCGTCGACTCCTTCCGTACAGCCATCCTACCCTTATACAACCTCTTCGGCATTCCCGCAGCACGGATAGAGCTGCGAGTTCTTCAGAGATCATGCGCCGGGCCTCACGGTACTGGTGGCGCGGGTATCGTCGAACTTAGATTTGCAAGCCAGGTTCGGTTACCGAAGACATTACATCTAAACAGAAGCCCCGGCAGGATAAAAAGAATACGAGGAGTCGCATATGCGACAGGTGTGTCAGCGTCAAATAATGCCCGTATGATACACTCTGCGCGTGAAATACTTAACCCACTCGTATCGGATATACATATCGCGGCACAATACGACCAGGCGCCGTTAGTCCCGGATGCGGCAGAAAAAGCTGGCAGTAAGAAAAGAATGGGTATTGGTTTTGGTCTCAGTTTAGTTGCGGAGTCGAGCGCCGTGGGTGTACTATACTCGGCAGATGTTGTAGTACCGCCTAAGGGAGGAGTAGTCCCCGAAGATATTGGAAAGAGGTGTGCATATCAACTCCTAGAAACCATAAGTCTAGGAGGTTGTGTTACCGGAGCAGCCGCAGGGACAGTCTTGACGCTGATGGCTATGGGATCCGAAGATGTTGGACGTTTACGACTTGGAAGAGACGTTGTGGGGACGGAACAGATTATAGGACTCGCACGAGATCTTAGAAAATTTGGGGCTAGTAGTTGGGGGCTTCGGGACGCAGAAGATGACGACTCAGGCGACATAATAGTCTCGGTAAAAGGGACTGGAGTCGGTAACGTGGGTAGAAAGATTGCGTAGTAATGATATCCTTGAAATTTGTACAATGTCATTTAGTAACTATTTATGGCTGCCTTGGCTGAGCCGCGGCCTGCCTCGCTCTTCTCTGTGCTGCCAAGGCCGCGAGCGTCGCATTATATCCAACATTTTGTATAGCGTAGGCAGCTGCGCTTTCAGGAGAGTTTGCCCGTGTATGCCAGGCCGTCCGAAGTGACTGTCGAATATTGAAGTTGGCCAGAACGGCGTTGCCAGATCGCAATGTGTCAGCTAAACCTTCAAGGTCACCACTTACAGGAGTGGTGGCTTGTCTCAATAGGCCAACCCTCTCATCCGCATTGCGATAATTGTCATTACCATTCCTGCCTCCTAGAGATTGCATTTCAACATCGTTTGCTTCATCTACCACAGGCGCATCTCGTAAAACTCCCCGTTCCTCCGCGTCGTGATCTTGCCCAGTGGTAGTCTCCTCTGTGGTGGTTCCGGGACTGTCTATTTGCCTCCTTGGCCTCACTACTTTGCGCACTCTTTCTTTCTCGATGTTCACGGTTAGCATAAAGCATTGTAGCCCCAAAATAAGGAGGTCCAGCAAGAGGAGAGAGAATTTGGACGAGGGCGCCTTTTGTCCGACAAAATCGAAGAGTATGCCACCGTGGAGGTAGCCTCGGGACGCTTCGCCGGCTTGGGGCAATGACGTGAGTAGATGTAATAATATACATAGAAAGTTTGGACCGATAATAGCAGAGACGTGGTAGTTGGGTATAATTAGAATGGAATCTTCAGCCTTGGGGCTTATGAATAGAGCTTGAGAAACCCATCGTATCATCAGTCGGAAGAACGAACAACTAGAAATGATATGTCAGCGCCTTTATACGATGCAGCACATATAATAGTATAGAGCGGGAAGGTCTCGTCATACTCCATATAGTATAGCGCACACAATTCGGCATAGACAACAGTATCTAAACTGATACTTAAATGCATCATGAATTGCAGCTTCTTTGTAAGGCCATCCTTTGCGGCTTGGGAAAGCGACGGGTTCTGCGTAGTGGTGCCGCCATCGCGACTCTGCTCGGAGGCTGCGGACTGTGGTAAGTCGTCGGCGTTGTCCCCTTGATGATGGTAGGACGTACGATGAGGGTCCGCCGGCGTGGTCGGGATGGAAGCATTGTTCATAGCTCCACCTCAATCGACGTGAGAAGCCACCGGGTGATATGTCTTTACATGCTGCGAGGCCGTCATAAAGATATAGATCAGTTGCCTATTGCGCAGGTGCTCTGGGTGGAATTAAAGCGACAATTCGGGGAGCGCGTGGTGTCTGCGGCGTTGGTTTTTGAAGGACTGCAAAGCCACAAGGATGGAATCTTAGAAGCTGAGGATGATGTTAGAGCAGCTGAGAACGCCGCATGCACAAGTACAGTGGATAAAATAATGCGGTTGTACTATGCGTGCCGCAAGATGTACCTGTGGCTGCTGAACATTATCTTGGCTCGCTGACTAAATCGCTTCCTTAAATGCATAACCTCTAAACTTACCTCCTTCAATGCTTAACTGGAAGTTCTTAATATTAAAGTGTTAAGAATCGATCAGATAGTTCTATGGGAATTTTGGGCAATATTCCTCTTCTAAACGTATTTTATTATATACCTACAATTGGACATGTTATATTATATTCTAGCGATTTGATTGTCCTATCCATAGGCAAATATTATTCCTTTGCAGCTTTCGCTGCTTCTAAAGCTCCTACAACTGCAAACGATACTATAGGGGTAATAATATAGGAAAGCTATAATGGTAAGCCCAGGTCATAACTTCACAATAGCTCTGGTGTCTGTAACGCTTACCGTAAGGAACTTAGCTATCGACATTCGTATTTTTTGGTCAGCCCCGCTGATATCAGCTAACGCGAGAACTTTCATCGCAGTAGGACCGATGGGCATCATCATTAAAGTCCACCATAACATGGGATCGTTGGGAAGTATACCAGTGTAAGCTGCTAAAACCCAGATGAGGGGAATGCTGATGCTATAGTAGAGGTGAGCATGATTGTGTATTCAAGACCGGGCCTAACTTACGCTGGCCAGAGTATGAATCTGACGAAGGTTATAGAAAGGACGGTACCTAGAGGCAGTGTACCTGCTTCTTCGCCTTCTTTCATCCGGCGCAAGCTTAAGCTCAATTCGACGCCGACGACAATAACTTGGAGAGACACAAATAGTTCCCCTCAGACTGGAAGTGAGCCACTAAATACATATGTTAATATCACACCCAGAATTTTTAATCCTACCATCAAGGTCGGCTGTATTCATACGCACCGCATTGAAATATCCGCCTTCATCCATGTCGTTGAAGAAAAGTCGGTGTAAAGGCGGCGTGAGCCCTATTATTATACCAATGGTTGCGCCGATGAACGGTGGGTTAGCAAACGTCCCAATAGCCGCAAGTGTCTTCTGAACGGGTTTCGGGCTTGCTCGAAAATGGCTTCGAAATCGCAAGGCAAGCTTGTTTCTCACCCTACGCTCCCAGGACACGACTCTCTTAGGGAGGAGGGATGTACGCTCATTAGGGTCATTTGCATCATCGCCATTCTCAAAGTCGACAGGTGAATGATAACCCTGCCCGTTTTCCTGAACTCGTTGACCTTCAGGGTCTGTTGAATCGTTCTGCTTATGTTGATCGCCAGTTATCCATTTTGCACCTTGGCTAAATGTGATAGTGTTATTGATAACCGAGCAGGCGAGGAAGTATGTGCGTGCTCGCTCAATTCCGTCAGATGCCTGACCCGCACCAACTAAAGTTGCCAATACCCCAGTGGTTTCTAGCGACTGAAGTAACAGTAAAGGAAGAGATTCGGTATTGTTGAAGGCAATAGCGGGTAATGCCCATTTTGGCAGGCGAAAAAAAGCTACTGCTGCTTTTCCAATGGCAATAGATGAGACAGTAAAAATGATAGCCCAGACTAACAAAGCGTTAGAGAATTTTCTAAGAGGTCAATTGAGAGACATACTAATAATAGGAACATAGTTGACTACTGTGTCGAGATGTAACTGGGATCCCAGTTTCGTGATCAACAAGCAAGGTAACAGCACAGTAACACAGAGGTGTGATACTTCTCTAGCAGCATCCGTCGTGACTAGACCAAACTGAGCAGCAATAACACCATAACTGATTGTCAATAACACCAACAACGAGGCTTGTATAGCACCGAGGAAGGAAACAAGTAATGGCGAGACCATCTTACAAGGACTCGATCAATTTAGAAATTCTATTAGAATATGAAAAAGATAACTAATGACGACATATCTCAGTTCAATATACGAATACGATTTTAATGTAACTAAGTATACTAACTTTGCGAACGACGTCATTACTACCTCTAGGTATAGATCTAACGGCGGTAACGGCGGACTTGGTACCTGGTGCTTTACCTAAAAAAGGAAGTAATCCGTAGAGCACGCACATTTTAGTAAGTACCTCACATACGTAATTGAGGGACCTCGCAGCCTCGGGAAAGTGAGATGAGGTTTCTAATGTACTGTATCCCACTGGATCGGGTCTGCCAAGAGATACCTACTAGGTAGCTCTTCCCCTCCAAGCTATTCTATACCCTGTCTCCGTTAATCGCAACTCAATTTTTTAGCGGAGCCCTTAGTGCCTCTTTTTTTCTATCCTTATCGGGCTTATCTATACATCGATAGGCGCATGCCCTGAAATTTATTAACTTATAGACACGGAATCGGATCTTTTAAGACTTGTTAATTGTTTAGTCTAGATACAACTTGAGTCATAAGGGCGCAAAGGACTCTTTCCCTAGAAGCTCAATTGGACTTCAATTGGGAGTAGGGAGCTCCAAATTCTGGTCTCACAAGACCCCGTCCCTTCTCTAAACCTCCCAACTCTCCCAACATTCCAGCTCCCAGCTCCCAGCTTGTCATGGCCCTCTCCACCAAACTTGCAGGTCGAGCACCTGTCCTGTTGCGACATGGCCGACGACTGCCCATCGCTCGAAGGCCACTTACCACAGCGAGCCTCCGGGCTCCCTCACAGCTTCTCGCCTCTACTCGAAAAGCTGGCTTCTATCAAGAGAGGAATTTCTCTGTCACCTCCCTCTGCTCTGCGGGAAGTGTAGCTACTTCTCAAGAGGCGCCAAATCCCAAAGCCTACTTGGAGAGCGGCGTCATAAAACCGAGAGACGTCGTGGATGTCAAGAAGGTGCTTGTCATTGGTAGTGGTGGTTTAGCCATTGGACAGGCTGGAGAGTTCGACTACTCAGGTTGGTGCCGCAAAACCGCCCTTCAACCTCACGAGCCTGGCTATCAAGGGTGACTCATACTACCACTGAGTGTATTGATGCTAACACTCGGGCTTGTATAGGATCTCAAGCGCTTAAGGCTCTTAAGGAGGCCGGCGTAGCATCTGTTCTTATAAACCCTAATATTGCTACTATCCAGACCAACCACGTCCTCGCTGACGAAGTATACTACCTCCCCGTCACCCCCGAGTATGTATCCTACGTTATTGAAAGGGAACGGCCTGATGGTATCTTCTTGTCCTTTGGTGGACAAACTGCGCTGAACTTGGGTGTGCAAATGCAGCGCATGGGTATATTAGAGCGATATGGCGTCAAGGTTCTCGGTACTAGCGTTCACACCCTAGAGTTGAGTGAGGACAGAGATTTATTCGCCAAGGCCCTTAACGAGATTGATATTCCAATTGCTAAGTCAATTGCCGTTGGCACTGTCGACGATGCCATAGATGCCGCTTCCAAGGTCGGATACCCCATTATCGTTCGTGCTGCCTACGCGCTGGGAGGTTTAGGCTCTGGCTTTGCCAATAACGAGGAAGAACTCCGCAATATGGCAGCCCGCTCTTTGACCCTCTCACCGCAGATCCTCGTTGAGAAGTCGTTGAAGGGTTGGAAGGAAGTCGAATACGAAGTTGTCCGTGATGCAAACAACAACTGCATTACTGTCTGTAACATGGAAAATTTCGACCCCCTAGGAACCCATACGGGTGACTCAATTGTCGTTGCGCCCAGTCAAACACTTAGCGACGAGGAATACCACATGCTTCGGTCCGCCGCCATCAAGATCGTCCGCCACCTTGGTGTTGTTGGCGAGTGTAATGTCCAATATGCGCTTCAGCCGGATGGTCTCGATTACAGGGTAATCGAGGTCAATGCCCGTCTTTCTCGTTCATCTGCCCTGGCCTCCAAGGCCACCGGTTATCCTCTAGCGTATACTGCGGCGAAGATTGGCCTGGGACACAGCTTGCCCGAGCTACCAAATGCTGTTACCAAAACCACCACTGCCAACTTTGAGCCCTCCCTCGACTATATCGTAACAAAAATCCCTCGTTGGGACTTGTCTAAGTTCCAGCACGTCAAGCGTGATATTGGTAGCGCCATGAAGTCTGTTGGCGAGGTAATGGCTATTGGCCGAACCTTTGAAGAGTCATTCCAAAAAGCTATCCGTCAAGTCGATCCTAAGTTCGTCGGCTTCCAAGGCGACAAGTTTGAGGACCTTGACTATGAACTCTCGCACCCAACGGACCGTCGATGGTTGGCTGTTGGCCAGGCCATGCTTCACGAAGGCTACTCGGTTGAAAGGGTCCACGAACTGAGCAAGATTGATAAGTGGTTCTTGTACAAGCTTCAAAACCTCGTTGACTGCACTAGGGAAATGGAAGCTGTTGGTAGCTTAGAGGGTCTGAAACGAGACCTTATTCTGAAGGCTAAGAAGATGGGTTTCTCCGATAAGCAGATTGCGAACGCCGTTAAGAGCAACGAGGATTCGGTCCGCGCTCTTCGATTAAGTATGGGTATTCGACCTTGGGTTAAGAAGATCGATACCTTGGCCGCCGAATTCCCAGCTGACACTAACTACCTGTATACCACTTACAACGCCAGCACCCACGACGTAACGTTCGAGGATAAGGGTACTGTAATCCTTGGTAGTGGTGTGTATAGAATCGGTAGCTCGGTTGAATTCGACTGGTGTGCCGTTAGTGCTACCCTCGCTTTGAGGGACATGGGCGAGAAGACTGTCATGATCAACTACAACCCCGAGACTTACTCGACTGACTTTGACACGGCTGACAAGCTGTATTTCGAAGAGCTCAGCTACGAGAGGGTTATGGATATCTACGAACTTGAGAATGCCTCTGGTGTTGTTGTT